AAATATATCATGTCACTCCCTTCTAGCCAGTAAGGTTTCTGCTGAGAAGTCGGCTGATAGCCTTATGGGATTTCCTTTGTACGTCACTTGTTGCTTTTCTCTTGCAGCTTTTAGGATTCTCTCTTTATCTTTAATTTTGGACATTTTAATTATAATGTATCTTGGTGTGGGTCTCTTTGGGTTTATCTTGTTTGGGGCTCTCTGTGCGTCTTGTACCTGGGTGTCTGTTTCCTTCCTTAGGTTAGGAAAATTTTCAGCTATTATTTCTTCAAATAGATTCTCTGTCCCTTTGCCTCTCTCTTCTCTGTCTGGGATATCTATAAACAGATGTGGGTGTGCTTGATGTTGTCCCAGAGTTCCCTTAGACTGTTCTCATTGTTTTAAATTCTTTTTTCTTTATCTGTTCAGCCAGGGTGATTTCCTCTAGACTTTAGTCCAGTTCACTGATCTATTTTTCTGTATCATATACTCTGCTATTGAGTCCCTCTAGTGAACTTTTCATTCCCAGTATTGTATTCCTCATCTCTGATTGGTTCTTTTTTTATATTTTCCAATTGTTTGTTGACGTTCTCATTGTGTTCATCCATTCTGCTCCCAAGATAAGTGAGCATCCTTATGAGTTTATGTTTGAACTCTTTGTCCGATAGATGGTTTATTTCTCTTTCATTTAGTTCTTCTTCTGGGGTTTTTCCCTGTTCCCTTGCTCAGAAGGTATTCCTTTGCCTCCTCATTTTGCCTCTTTCTCTGTGCTTATATCTATGTGTTAGGTGGGTCAGCTGTGTCTCCCAATCTTGGAGAAGTGGCCTTATGTAAGAAATGCCTTTTGAGGCCCAGCAGTGTTCTTCCCTCTCCTCACCAGTTCCAAATGTTCCAGGAATGACCCCTCTGTGGGCTATGTGTGTCCTTCTGTTGTGGCGGCAGTGTTGTTCTTGCTGCAGATGCCCAAGGAGTCTAGGCTGTCCTCCAGGCTGGCTGGTTGTAATGCTCAGCTGTGTGTGGCTGCTATGGACCCTTCAGTCAGTTTATCATGTTTGGGGAGCCCCAGCAGAGTTGGCTACAAGGACTAATAGCACATTCCTGTTGCAGTTTTTCTGTTAAGTGAGTAGGCCCTCAGTGTGGCTGGTTGCTAGGCTCAGGGGCTGAAAATTGCTGAAGCCCTCAGGCCTGCAAGGTGTTTTTCAGCTCCCTTAGGATTACAGCTGAATGGGGCTGACCCCAGGCACAGGATCACCTAATTGTTTCAGGCTTTGGAAGGTGGGGCCAATCCCTACGTGGCTGTTTGAGAAGCACAGGTCTTCTGCCTCTGATAAGCCCCATGGCCCAAAGGTCCACACACACTGTCAACACAGTCCTGGCCCACACACACATCTCAACCCCTGGAGCATACCCAGTTACCCCACTGCAGAGGCCCCCCCCACACTACATCAATGCCCCACACATTCCAGCCACTCCTCATGCAGGCCCTGTTCTGCAGAGGTGGACCCACTCACCTGCTTGTAGAGGATCCAGGCACCTAGCCTGAGGGCTTGCTGTTGGCTAGGGCCAGTCCCTGAGGTGGGCTGCCTGCCTGCCCTGGCTGAGCTGGATTAAATTGGTGCTCTAGTGGGTGTGGCAGACCCCTGGGCTAATAGACCAGGGGAAGAACTCCAATGGTGTCTGCCAGCATCTGTGTCAGAGTGCCTTTACTAGGTCACAACAATGGCTACTGCAAATGTCTCAGTCCCCAGAGAGGACCCATCTCTCACTGAGATGCACCCAGAGCCTACCAGGTGAGTCTCTTTTCACCAAAGGAGTGTCTACCGTTTTTTCTGGTGATTTTATGTTGCTTTCTGAAATGGGTGAATTTGCGCCTGGGCCCTTTAAGAGCCAGCTTTTCCCCACTTGTGTCCAATAGCTTTTCTGGGGATATTCCTCATTACAGTTAATAACCAGCGAAGCCAGATATTATGAGATTCATCTCAGTTGAGCTGAGTCCAAAGGATGGTTATAGCAGTAACTCGCCCCCTGCTCAGGTACCCCACTCCTCCAGGAAAGGCTGTGTACCTTAGGATTGCTCCTAGCTCTAGAGTGCTGTGGCTTGTGAAGGTGGCTTTTTTTCTCTCCAGAAAAGGAATTTCTGCTTCTTCACCCTCAGTCGGGACTGTCCCTTGTTGTGGGCGTTCTTTTTATCCAGTTTTTAGTTCTCTCTGAGGGGTAATTGTTCCAAGAACAGTTGCAACCTGGTTGTATTTGTGGGAGGAGGTGAGTTCAGAGTCTGTGTATGCTGCCATCTTCACTGATCTCAAGGCTTTGGATTTTAATCCAAGTGTGATAGGAAAGGAGCAGATAGTTGAGAGCAGGGATGTGATGTGATCTGATTTATTTAAAAAGGTCAGTCTGTGGATGCTTGACTTTAGGGGCAAGAGTGGAGGTAACAGAGGCTCTGTCTACCAAGGGCCAGGCAATCCACACTCCATCTTTTCTAAGCTACATCCCCTTTCCTCGGTTCTAACTCAGATGATCAAACATCTTAGTTGGACTGGCACAACTAAGGGGCCAGGCACTCTTTATTCTCAAAAGTCCTGGTTTTAGACAACATATTGTATGATCACTCTAGTCTAACATATCTTGAATCCTCTCCTTTCCTGAAAACAAACCTAACATCTCAAGATTATTAGGTAGAATTTCTAGGGATGACTGCCATCTCATTGCTATGTTTGGAGAATGCCTGAAGTACAGGTAATTCCTCAGGACTCTCTCCCTCCAACAACTAAGAGTCTTCTCTTCCTTTGTACTATCAGGTCGCAGCCCATTAGTCTAATTCCTGCTGTTCAGTGTTGGCATTCCATTGACAGTAGCCTGGCTTTGATGACCACCATACCTCAAAAGAGTTTGCAGAAGTCTTTCCAGTTTTCTAATAAGATGTTTAAGATGGCAGCCATGTGCAGAAGGTCAAGCCATCTTTTGTTTCTCACTGGACCTTGGAACAGAGGCCAGATCACCGGCCTTAGCTGACTTCATTGCTTCCCTAGCCAAGTCAAATTTCTAGGCAGGTGCAATAGGAGAAGTTTGCTCATGATGCCTTTGGTGTTTCTATCTAAACCATTACCCTTTTGCACCCTTTGTTATACTTTCCCACCCCTCTCCACTCTCTCTCCTGATTGCCCCCATTTCCTGTCAAAGCCTGCTCTCAAATGTTTAATTTATACTCTCAGACCTTCGGTTCCCACTGGAATGTAGTGGAACGGAAGAAGTTTAAAGAATTTCCTCTCCCAGGGACTTTGCATTTTAATAAAAATCAAAGTCTGATACCAGTGGTTCCCAACATTGGGTCAAGATAAGAACCACTTGGAGAGCTTGCTAAAATGCATATTGATGGGCTCCAACTTCCAAGAATTTGTCTTTTAATCAAGCATCTCAAGTAATTCTGACGAGCGTTTCCGAAACCACACTTTGAGAATAAAATTCCTAAAGTTAAAGCACTAACTGGAATTGCATGTGCCACTGTGAGAGGAGAAGCTTTACTGGGAGTCAGGAATTGTGCCACACAGGGAACTGCATACAAACGTATTAACTATATTTTCTGATTCCAAAATCATGTCACATGAACTGTCAATGGGGCATCATTGAAACACTTGGGCTAAATTGTCAACCTATCTGACAGGGTTACATGGGAGTTTGCTGTTATTTAAGCTGCTCGAGAGAACCAAGTCCTGCCCTGTCTCTCCTCCCTGTGAGATTCCCCAGAAAATTATACACACGGAATTGTAGCCAATTAGAAATATAAGTGCTATTTTATTATTAGCTGGAATAATGTCTGATAATGTACAATGTAATGCTTTGTGAAGGCTGGATTGGGGCCCATCACTTTTGCTTATTGTCAGCTCAGTTTCTTTCCCACTTTCCATGGCCTAAATTCTTGGGCTGATAAATCAATCCAATGTGCCTGTGAAGGGTGAGAGATTGGGAGACTGCTGAGCCCACTTACCTGGCAAGCCATATGGAAATGGGGAGAGAGAGAAGGAAAGAGATAGCGATATATAGGAAGAATGCCTAGTCTGCTTACTATATGGAGGTGGGAAAAATAAAGTAGAAGAGAGAGTGTTATGTATGTCTACTGACTTTTTACCATGCTGTAATCCAGCCCATTAGTAACGGTGGTCTAGTTAATGCCTAATACTCTGACCAATCAGATGAATTACAGGAATAATTGACAACAGATCAACAACATCTGCCTTGTGGAGAGAAAGGAAGAAACAGGCAGAAGCAGATTTGGTGCAGGAAGAGGGATTGAAGGCTAGGCCAGACCTAAACAGTTGACAACGAATTATAAAGCAGAAGGGAGCCCCTACACTCACGGGGGATGACTCACTTTGGTGACAGGCTCTCACGGTATAATTCCTGCCGTGGGTGAAACCTCCACTCCTTTTACTCCCATTCAATAAAGCATACCAGGGGCCAGCCCCGTGGCTGAGTGGTTAAGTTCTCGCGCTCCGCTTCGGCAGCCCAGGGTTTCACCGGTTCGGATCCTGGGCGCGGACACGGCACCGCTCATCAGGCCATGCTGAGGCGGCATCCCACATAGCACAACCAGAGGCACTCACAACTAGAATATACAACCATGTACTGGGGAACTTTGGGGAGAAGAAAAAGAAAAAAAAGAATGGCAACAGATACTAGCTCAGGAGCCAATCTTTAAAAAAAAAAAAAAAAAAAAAGAACACATACCAAAATGCGAGACAGCAAGGTAAATCTTAAATCTGTTCTAGCTGATCAAAAGTATTATTTGCATGGGGCCGGCCCTGTATTGCAGCAGTTAAGTTCGCATGTTCCTCTCGGCGGCCCAGGGTCTGCCGGTTCGGATTCCGGGTGTGGACATAGCACCACTTGGCAAAAGCCATGCTGTGGCAGGCGTCCCATGTATAAAGTAGAGGAAGATGGGCATGGATGCTAGCTCAGGGCCAGCCTTCCTCAGCAAAAAGAGGAGGATTGGCAGTAGTTACCTCAGGGCTAATCTTCCTCAAAAAAAAAAAAAAAAAGCATCATTTGCAAACTTTGACACTTTAATAATTACTGGTTTTCAAATAACATCTGGCAACTGACAGTGCTCTGCGGGAGGGTTGCAGTCTTGTGGGCAGGTCCTGGTGGAGACCCTTCACCTGCCCTGGGAGCTGGGCAGGCAGCAGCTTCAGAGGAGGTCGAGCTCTGCTACTCTCTGCAGCCCTTCCATGGCTCTTTCCTTCTCGTATAAACCTGGACTCCAGAGCCCAGGGTCTGGGTGGTGGGGCAGGGCGGAAGGAGGCTCTAAGTGGGGGAGTAGGGAGGGCGGCTGATGTGCCGTAATTCCTGGAATAGGGGGAGAGGTTATAACCATATTTAACTAAGACACATGGATTTCTGGGACAAATTATTTTCACGCAGGGAATTATTCTGGGAGCTTTGTCTAAGTCAGTTTAATAACCAAAAACCCCCGAAAACCCAAAAACTACCTGGCATTTTTATAGTCTTCAAAGCACTTCAATATCTATCATCTCAGATCCCCCTCCACCTTCCTCCGTTCCTTCGTTCATTCAAAACCAGTTTTGTGCCTTTCCAGACATTTGGGGGCAGCTGTCTGTTTTGCGGATTATCCATTTAATTCCTCCTCTTGGGTGTCCTTGTCGACCTCTGGCCATGTTTCTGTTCACCTTTTCGTTGGAAGGAAGAGGTGGATAATGAGATTAATTGCTGAAACAAGGTTAGAGATTATCATTAGATTCAGATTTCCATGTTTTTCCCAGCCTTCCTTCCCTTCGGGGGACCTGAGATGATAATTGGAGAGTGAAGTATATTTTGTGACATTTAGGAAACAGGAGAAGAGAAGGGATATGGAAAAGGGAAGATCCGATTAAACCAGTGTAGACATTGTTAAGAAATTTATTTGCAAGTCTTGTTTTTTGTTTTTTTTTGTTTGTTTTTTAAATAACATCATTCCTTAGATAAAAATGCAATCTTACAGGAATATACACAGCGTCTCACACAGAGATGACCCTGAAGCTCTTCTTGAAAGGCTGTCCCTTCTAGATTCCCTGGTCTTTCTCAAGGACGAGAAGGCGCAGCAGGCGAGGCCTTTGATAACGGGATTAGCGGATGAGTACAAACTGTACAGCGATATTTACAACAGTAAGACTGTGACGTCGAGGCGCCTGGAGGCGCAGGTGTGTTGTGTGCAGGTGTGGGGGGTGGGGGGCGGTGGCAGGCAGTGGAGTGAAGCGGAGGCCTGTCCACCGCTCTGCATCTCTCTGAGGACAAGCAGGGGGCAGACTGGTGTGGGGGCGTGAAGGTGGGCCTGAGCAGAGGGCGCGAAGAGAGGAGAGATGAAGGGGCTGAATCTGGAGCCTCTTGCACAGAGGGAAAGTTTGCTTCGTAGCTCTTTCCTGTATTAAACTAAAACAGGAAAATTATGAGAGTAACGGACATTCCAGCGCTTCACCCACTGAGGACCTGCCATCCTATTTCTCAGTGAACTTGTGTGTTCTTCCACAGGTTGTTCTCAACGATGATCATTACAGACCTGTCAAAACCTGCTTATGCTTTAATACCCACAGCCTATTTCTGTGCTAGACTTTATTCCCGTGAAACCCTGGGAGAACAACATACGCTCTGGGCAGGGCATGCTGCAGCTGTGGGGTGGTGCCGAATCTGCTCGGGAAGTCAAGAGATGGATCCCAAGTCTGGGGGAACGGGCAGCAGTGTGACACGGGGATGGCGGGATGCGTGCAAGCAGACAGGAGCCCATAGCATTTGGGTCACGGAGTTGCCTTCTAAAAGAGCCTTTTGCACAGGATTGTGTACAGACCATCTGCCCCAGATTCCCAAGGTGTATTTTTCCCTTGTAAAGCGTCAGCGTAGTTTCTCCATGGTGGGAAGCTGTAGAGGGAAGGGGCTTGGTGCAGGGCCCAGTGACCTGTCCTCTTTCCTTCCTCCTGTGACTCCACAGAAAGGAGCCTTCCTTTCCCTTCTCTCTCCTCCTGGCTGCAGGCTCAGGAGAGACTCCACACGGGGGTCTGAGATCTGCTGCCCTCAGGCCCCTGTGGCAGCGAGTCACACTGAGGCAGCCGCCTGCGCCCTCCTTCCTCACCCCTGCTTGAAGACTTGACGGCCCTGAGAACACCCGAATGAGGACTCTCCAGGCCCAAACTGTGGATAGGAACCATCCTGTCCATTTCTGTATTTTCTCACGTAGACATCACCCTCCCTCAATACTTACAACCTCTTCCACCAAGAGATTTGTCTGATCATGACGTTGGCGAAATATTTTCTTATGTATGAGGCACACGAGTGATTTTTGGACAGCAACTTTGTAGTGAATGCCTGATTCCTGGTAAAGTGTCACACCGCCTTTTTAGGAGGCTTCTACAAGTCAGATTATTTAGCCTCTGAGAATTGAGGAGGGGAGGCCACCTGTGAGAAGGCCAGGATCTGACCTGAGGGGAGGGCATCTGACTCTGGGGATGCAGCACTTCAAGCTTCTGTTTAACTATCTAGCCTTTGTCTTGCCGTCCTTCACTTAGTAGGAACTTAAGAATGTCACAGGTCCTCACTTGGACTCTACTCTCAGTGCTGAATCCGTTTGTTCCACTCAGCTCGCTGTATTCTGCTGCAATCTGGAATTCCCTATCAGAGACCAACTGGAAGGCCTTTTAAAAATGCCAGGAAGCCTAAGGGTCCTTGCCCCTGCACCGCTGTGGGGCAAGCCTCTTAAAATCATGTGAAGAAAAGTCTTGATTTTAGGAGTATTTTCTCAATGTAGAAAATTAATATTTAGTTTACAGTAATAATAGGTCCAGACGGCACTCCTTCCACCCAAGGAAGTGACTCTGGTTCTCTCTCCACCTCTCTCTATACGGTGCTCAGCCTGCTAGGGCTGGGACAAAATCATCCATCTGGAGCTCGGCCCCAAACCCACACTTGTCCCTTAAGGACGTGTGTTCAAGAGTGTGTATGTGAGTGAGAGTGTGTGGTGTGTGTACATGTGGTGTATGTGACAGTGTATGTGCATGTGGGTGTGTGTATGTGAACAAGAGTGTGTGTGTGGTGTGTGTGACGTGTGGTGTTCAAGTGTCTCCCCAACAATGTAGAAATCTGGTAGAACGCGTTTACCTCTTATATTGGTATCTGGCTCCATAGAACAATGCTTCATTGCTTTGAAATAAAAACAAATATATAACGTTGAAACCAGAAATGGCTTCACAAAGAAACTGTGTAGGAATCTGCACACGGGATCCTTTCAGTTCTCTGTCCCTCTCACTAGGCTGGAGGGAGGAGGGAAAACTGGGCCCCAGGGCTGGAAGCCGGAAGAGAGCATCTGCTCGGGGAAGGGGAGGGAGGCTCTAGCCCTGGCAGTTGGAGGACGCTTCTTCCCTTGTCTCCCCACTCTGGGTCCTCAGATGCCAGCCTCGGTTGATCTGGCTGGGAAAACAACGTCAGATGAAAATTCTATTTTTCTCTTCTTCCAAAGTAGATCCTTGAGGCATCAGCCTCTCCACTGTACTGGCCATTGTGGGTGGCTCAACTGGACACTTCTTTCCATAAAACAGGAAAAGACACACGGGGAGTCAAGACATGCCCCTTTGTGGCCCCATTTCTCTTCCAGTCTCTCTGTGCTGCCACTTTCCCAGACCAGAGCCACGTCTTTAACAAACAGAACCGGCTGGGGCTCCATCAGCAGTTTTCTGACTAACCCAGGGCCGAAAGGGTCCTTTTAAAACACATTGCTCTTTTCTTGGCCTCTTTGCTAAACTCTTTCTAACTCTTAGACAGTGACATTTCAATTTTTCCAGATCTCTGGAGATGGAGATGCCATCACGCTCCTTAGCAACACTTAAGACTACAGTCTGACAAGGCTAACAGCCCTGACTCCCAGGGCTCTTCTCTGTGTCCAATCCAAGTTCTCGTTACATTTCTTGGCCTTCAGGAGTGATGTGCATGTATCAGCTGGCCTCTGTAAAACAACCATCATCCTTTTGATGACCAGATTCCTCATTTTCAGGGTGCTCTGGTTTTTCAGAAAGATATTACTCTGGCATTGAAAGGCATGCTTCTCTGTGGTTGCTGAATGATCAGAAGTTCTGCAGAGAGGATGGCTGTGAGAAAGTGTGGGCAGCTCCACTCCAGACAGGCCCCTGAAATTTGGAAGCAGGGCCACTGAGGGGGATAAAAGACAGAGTCTTTTGTCCTTGGACTTTCTAGTCAGTGGGACAGCTGTCAGACTTAGAAGATGAGGGAGGGACCATACCTAACAGCTTCTGAAGCAAAGCAGAGAAAAATTCAGGAATCGAGCCAAATCTAGGAAAGAAGCCTCCTCTTTTGACCTCAAGACCAAAAAGAACCTTCTAGGAACAGGCAGAAAGGAGACAGCTGGGAATCTTTCTGCTTACTGTAGCCATGCATATGAATAGTGATTAAAAGACCAAGGTGTGGAAATAAAAGAGGCTGGACCTGGCAGAGGACAAATGAAACCCCAGAACTTCAACTCCTTCCGGTCCTTTTGGTCCTCAGACGCTGGTTGTTTTTCTCCTGCCACTCAAGGGTTTTCAGAAGATTTGCTGACTATGCTTTAGAAGGTCATGGGGAAAGTTCTATTTTTGGGGGACAGTAAACATCACTCCGTCCACTGTGGATGAGGTTCATCCGTTTCCTGATTAATTGTTATCAGTCTGTCGTGATGACAGGTATCACATGCTAATCCTATACTAGTCGGTCATGAGCTCAGGCTCAGAAAGACCCATTGCCCTAGACAGGGGACTCCTGCCTGAAACTCCTTTCCTTCACAGCAGCGTAGGGCAAGGTGCCCTTGTCATTTCTGACACGCTTCTTGGAGGGTGCGAGGAGGAGGCCTAGCTGGTCTTCCTGAGAGTTGGCTGTAAAGGAGAAGGGAGCCTGTGGGTGATAGTGGTGAAGGGTAAGGGGACTATGCTTAGGCAGGGTCCTGGGCGTAGGTGGCCTGAGCCCACTGTGAGCCCATGCCGCTTGCCAGTGAGATTTGGTGATGCAGGTGAAAAGTTCAAAAGGAAAACAGAAGGTGGCATGAAGAGGTTGCGTGTGTGTGAGTGTGTGTGTGTGTGTGAGTGTGTGGTCAATTAAGATTCCAAATTTCTACCTAGGGGCCACATGTGCAGCAAGAACCAGACATTGATCCAAAAGGGCTCCCCTCTCCAGCATAACGAACATCTCAGCAGCACAGAGGCAGACATTTGGGGAAAGTGGACAAAGAATGACACCTAAACTGAATTTCTGGAAGACCTTGATGGCACTGAAAAGGACCCGAGAAAGTTCGGATAAGCTGGGCTTGGAGAAACAGGAAAAAACTCTCCTGTCTCTAGACTGCAATTAACCTGTGGGTGTCGGGCACATTTCTCTACTTTTTCATGAATCGGTCCAGGAAAATAAAACTCATCTTCACTGAGAAATGGACTTTCCTTGATTATAATTTCTAGGTTGATCATGTAAGGGCCAAGAAGGGCTGAGAGAACACTGGGACTGGAAGAGTTTCATTGGGTAAATTCTAGATGAATGGTTGGGTTCTGTTTTCCCCAGATCAGTCCCTTTCAACCATCATTGTTGAAATCTCCCTAAAGGAAACGGCACCAATAGGGCGATGTTCTACGTAGATGCAAGCAGGCCTAAGAGACGCGCCCACAGTCTCTGGTCCCACCGTCACTGTGACTCTTGATGTTCCTCACTGCCCTGGCCCCCTGCACAGAGACCACACACACTACGGCAGGTCTGGAGGAGATCCTGGACCAGAGTGAGGAGAAGATGGAGAAGTGAGCAAGACAGACTTGCCTTTTGGATAGACAAGGACTTTACCCAGTTGCCTTTCTCTGGTCCCTGCAGTCAGCGTATGGGTATAGCAGCTGCCAGAGTGAAGACTCCCTTCCCCTCCCACCAGCCCGACTCTAATCCCACCCCTCAGTCCCTGCGAGCTCTCCCAAGGAAACCGCCAGGCCAGGTGTGCACTGCGGGAGTGAAGGCAGAAGTCAGTCGTGCCTCCGCCCCCAAATGCCTCATGGCCCCTCACGGTGATTTCTAGAGAAATCCCAAATCAGAGAACTAGAGCAAATAGTGGATAAAGTGAAGACTGGAATAAGATACATCCTGGCCTCTCAAAGCAAGATGCAGTACAAATATACCTATCATATAGTTTTAGAAAAGTTGAGGGAAATGGAAGTGAACACAAGATATGCAAAACAGAAGTGTCCAAACCTGTTTGTGGGTGGGAGAGCCAGGATCTACACTGGTGATCCCTCTGCGCATTGTGCAAAGCAAAAGAAGAATCCTTCCCTTTCCCCCAGCCACATATAGAAAAGCACTTAAGAGTTCAACGGTATAGCTTGTCACACTCGAAATACAAAATGGTTTACTTACATGCAGCAAAATATACAAGAAGTGAATTCAAAAACAAACTTAATTCAATTCATTATATTCGCTTGGCACAACTGCAATTCAGTTTTAAAAAAATATTTGTAAAATACTGAAACTGACCTGAATTCAAGTATAACGGTTTCTTCAACAGAAACATTATCAATGCAACAAAACATTACACGGAATATGTCGAAGCAAAATGTCTTCTTGAGTTTTCCCTTAAATTTCTGTGTGGTTTTTTTAAATACAGTTTTAATGCCAACACAACTCACAACTGTATTTTTAAAATGAATATTATTGCATTGTTTTTGCATATCTTGTGGGACAGAAAATGCAAAGAGTTACTGATTCCCGTTTCAGAAGCAGAGACAGTGGTTTGTTTTTGCTTTCGAATGGCCCCAGATTCAGATCTCCCCACAGTCAAATCGGAAGGGGGAGCTGGACTCACGCTCACGCGTGGGTGCACGTACACACATATGACACACAGACGACCCACCACACACACACACGGAACACACACACACACACAGACTCTCTCGTACATGCTTCCCCTTGCTGGCACCCACTAACACACCCAGCATTAAGAAGAACCCAACTCAATCACCCATATGTGCAAGACCATATCAAGTGCATTGCTGATTATCTTTAAATTATAAAATCAAACCCCCCAAAATTTTTGTTACTATCTACGGAAATTATAACAAATTATTGGGCATACACAATGGCTGCTAAAACTCTCCTACAGCGGTTCCACTGAACCCTCCGTAGAAAAGGATCCCACAACCGTTTAAATAATACAATAAAACCAAACCCGATTTACATTTGCAAAAGTGAAAACAGCAAGGTGGGTGGCTACAAAACTTTGTAAACGCTCTTCTTCCTCCCCTCCCCCTGGGAAAACAAAATAATAATTAAAAAAACAACCAAAACCCAAAAACTGCAACATGCTGTCAAGAAAAATGTCAAACCACGAAACGAAAGAGCGCTCAGCAGGAGCTCCGCCCGCCCGCGGCGCCCCGCCCTCCGGCCCGCCTCCCCGGCTCCCCGGCTCCCCGGCTCCCGCGCCTCTCGCTGCTTCCTCCTCCCTCCTCTGGGTTGGGGCTGGGTCCTCGCCGAAGTCACGCCCGCTTCCTTCTGCAAATCCGCAGGGCCCTGGCTCTATGGAGACAGTGAGGCTCATACAGAATATGTGCAAAATGATTTTTTTTACAAGCAAAGTTGAAAGACACCCGTTTGACATAGGGTCCTTTTGGTGAGGGCTACCGCAGGAAGCTGAGGTTCTCTTTCATGCCCGGAGGCGACAGTTGGCTCCTCGTGCAGGGCCTGAAATATCACGGGAGGGCAGGCGTCTCCTCTCTTGCTCTCCCTCCCTGATTCTTCCACCTTCTCCTCCTCACCACTCTGCCTCTGTGGACACACACTGGGGTTGCTGCTTTTCTTCCCCCCTGAAAAGCTGACTCTCGGTACCACTCAACTCTGCGTCTTGTCCCAACGAAATGAATGAAGACGCTGTTCCGGTTAACTCCAGGTCACGAGAACAGTGAGGCACTTCTGAAACGAACCCATTAGGAACATTGAAACAAATAAAAAACCCAGCATCTCCCCAGCCCCGGCTCCTACAGGCTGCCGCCGCAGGCTCTGCTGTCCTGGGGCTCCCCCTCGCTCTTCCCACGCTCCAGGGCTGGCGCGCAGGTCTCGTTCTCCTCGCCCCCTGCTCGGTCCTGCCCTGGGTCCCTGCAGTTAACAAAAGGGAAGAGGGTGCCGTTGGCGCTCTGCTGGGTGCCTCCGCTGAGGATATTGTCGGCAGCGTTCTCCATCTCCTCTATCGTCATGTCGCAGGCGTCAGCCAGCTCCTGGGTTGTGACCTCGATAAACTTGGGATCTTGAGCAAACTGCCCCAGTCCTTCTGAAATCAAGACCTGAAGGGGGGCACGAAGAAGAACCAAAGAGGAACATTATTCCTGGAGCTCTACTCTGCTCTTCAGGGCCAGAGCAAGGGGCTTCGGGCTGGTGACTTCAGGAAGTTTGTGTGCGCGCGGGCGTGCGTGTGTGTGTGTGTGTGTGTGTGTGTGTGTGTGTGTCTCGGGAGGGGTGCCCAGAGCACAAGAGTGGAGATGGGGCACCTCCCGAAGGAATTAGGGGTGTGTGGGTCGGAGGAGAGACGTTTGGGCTGGGGTACTGTAAGACTGTTATCAAGTACACGACAAGCTGGCTCACAGAGGGGCCGGGGGGCTGCGGGGCTGCCGCCTGGGCAGAACCCAGCCTGCCCTATCTTCTCTCTTCCCCGGCACCCCTAGACGCTCCCATAGCATTCTTTCCAAGAAAGCTTCCTTCTCCTGTGGTGAAGCTGTTAACCGGTGCCCACTGCCCGCCACCTGCCTTCCTGGGCGTGAGGACCCTGGAGTGCAAGGCACCAGGCATGAGCCTGCCTCTGCGGCTGCTTGGCAGGCCAGCAGGTGATCCCGAACCTCTCCCTCCTTCCCAGGGGGAAGAGGGGTCAGCTACTGAGCCCAGGGGCTGGGAAGCAACAGAGTGAAGAATGGGAGACTTTTCTCCCCGTTGTGTTGTCCTGCTCCCCCACCTCACTACTCTGGATCTCCTTATCCTGCTTAATCTGTCTTCACGGCTCCCACCCCTTCCTGATGGGTTACATGATGTTTGTCTACTGTGTGTCTCTCCTCGTCACAAAGAGAGCGCACGAGAGCAGAGAGGCTGCTCCTCAGCCTTAGCCTGCACCCAGAGCAGTGTCCACAATGGAGCTTTGTGACCTGAGGAAGGGACAACAGGGCCTGGCAAAGCATCACAGGCTTTTAGAGTTGGAAGGGACCTTAGAAGTCATCTGGTCTAACTCCCCACCTCACACAACAGTCTGATGACTGGACGGGTCTTGTCTCTGCTAGCATGTGTCCAGTGTGGGGGCTCACTCCTTTATAGGAAAGCCCGCCTCATGAGGAAGCCTCTGTCACAGGGAAGGTGACATCTCCCCTGCCCGGCAGGTTGATCTAGTCACTCTGGTCCAGTACTCAAGACCTGGCCATGAAGCCCTCCCAGGGTTGAGATGTCTATCATGGCCTCTTAAATCATCTCTTCTCCAGGGTTTCTTCCCTAATTCCCTCGAACTGTTCTCATAGGAAATGGCTTCTAGGGACCTTGCCAACCTGACTGTCCTTCTCTGGGCTTGTTCCAATTTGTCAAAGATCTGCTAAAATGTGGTGCCAGGATTGCACTAGAGGCTCTGACCAGGGCAGAGTATGGTGGGACTGAAAGCACGCCTGTTCTAGACCAGTGGTTCTCAACCCTGGCTGTGCATTAGAATGACCAAAGGGCTTTCAAAAATATCCATTTAATTGGTCCTAGGTTGCTGCAGCTCCCTAGGTTATTCCAATGAGCCCCAGGCTCCCGGAGCACAGACACTGACTCTCCACAGCCTCGAATGCAGCCCAAGCTCACACTTGCACTGGAACAGTCGCAGCAGACCTGGGGCTTGTACACGGGAGCCCCACAGCCCTCCGGGCCTCGCTGGCCTGTAGCAGGGACATGTTGCTCAGTAGTTTCTCTTTCCCTCTGCGTCAGGCCCAACAGAAGCCAAGAGCGGTCTTGTGTGGTCATAATTTCCCGCAGGCCACACCCTCCTTCTGCAGGCCCTGAGAGTGAGGGCCTTTCTGCCCAAGAGACCGACATCCAATCTACTCGGGAAAGAATTGGGTCCTCCCGTCTCAGCTGTCCATGCAAAGTCCCCGTGCTGCCCGCGGCCTTTCCTTGCCCTGTCCGCCGTGCAGCTCTGACTCACCGCTTCCACCAGACTGCTGGCACTGCCGTGGAGCTGCCTGCCCGGGGCCCCGGCCCGGCTGGGCACAGTGAGGGACACAGGCCGGGCTCTCCGGAGGGCGCTGCTGCCCCCACCACAGGCCGTGGGCTCCCCAGACCAGGAGCCGCAGTGGATGGACGGGAAGCTGCTGTTGAGTTTCTCGCTGGACTCGGCCCCCTCCAGCCGCAGGGTGGGGATGGGCCTCGGGGGCCAGCCTTGGCTGCTGGGCGTGGCCCAGGGCTGGGGGCAGGTGGTGGGGGCACGGCTTCTCTGGAGGAGGGGGCTCAGGCCCGCCACTGCCAATGCCTGCAGACACACAAGCACGAGTCACTAGGAGTGCTCAGGCCAGAGAGGCAGGCCTCTGCCTCCTGGCAGCTGTTGTTTCCAGCTGGGTCCCCCTGCCTGGAACTCACCCCGCCATCTTTTCACCCGCCAGACTCCTACCCTGAGTTTCATCTATCCTAAAATATATTTTGTGATCATCTCAGTCTGAAGTGATCTCTTTCTGCTCTAAAGTCAGAAAGCTGAGAATCAGGAGTGGCACTGAGATCACCGGCTCTTCAGTGCTGGCCCACCACCTGTGAGCTGTGGCTTCTCTCGCTTTTGGTTTCTCATTAGTAGAGGAGAGAGAATGGCGCCTGCATCACCTGGAAAAGCAGAGCAGCAGGCCCGTGTCCCTCCGCCTGGGGCTGAGTGAGGCTCAAGGGAAAGAAGGCCTGTCAGGAAGGACGCTGAGTGCCACAGAGCTCGACAAAACAGGGCTGACTGTCTAAGTTTTACAGTCAATTGGGCCGTTAATAACGTCCCACTAATCTCCAGCTCAGCTTGTCTCAGCTATTGTTCCAACCTTACACTGTGTTGTGAGGAAGCTATCTGTCCCCCACTGGGCTTGAGGGTGCTGAGGGCAGGTCAGGGCCTCATCCTAGATGCCACAGTGACCTGCTCTGATGTGATGCATCCTGGGAGAACAGGTGTGGTGGGAAAGCCCAGCCCAAGGGGCAGAGTGAAGGGGGCGTCATGGCTGCGGTTGGAGGGTCTGGAAAGGCATAAAGGGGAGACTGCAAACAGACAGGAGTCCTTGCCTTTCAGCATGATGAGAACAGATGGGTGAGATCAGCTTCTGGAGATCTTTTAGAATAGCACACACAGTGTCCCCTCAGCCTGCCAGCCGCCCCTGCCCACTGCTCTTGATGGTCCCCAGCCCGGGTCCCTGGAGATCTGAGGGAAGTGTAAGGCTGTGCTCAATTCCAGAAAGCCCAGAGGAAATCATATGTATGTAGGCAGTGCCACACAGGCTCAGCAAAACAGTGTATTCCTCTGAGCTGAAATAATACCAACTTAGCCGAGCCACACTGGCCATCTTATGCAGATTATAAGCTTTGATTGGCAGGGGAATGCCTTTGGGTATAAAAAAATCATTTAAAGCGCAGGCCCGGTGTACGGAGAATACAATTAAAGAGATAAACTCTAGTTTAGACCTTAATCTGCCTGGAGGTAAGAGATTGACCTTAGATAACTGAGGTTTCCATGAGTTGTGAGATCCTAAGAGTCCATTTGATACTGGCGTCTCGGATTTCACTAGCTCAGCTGGAGTCAGCCGTGCCAAGAGACATTCCAACTATGGGCTCTCCCTGGATGTCATTCTCTGCTCCTGACCCTGTTGCTGGCAGAGTCTTTGACCATTTCTATATTTCAGGGTATAGATTTTTGTGCAGCTAAATCTCCAGGTGTCTTGCAACTCTAGGTACGACCACACCTGCCTGAGTGCCCTGTAGTATAAGCCAGCGTCTGGGGAGGCAGCATCTGCGCCCCTGTGAGAAGGAAGCTCAGGTGGGATCCCACAGCCGCTGATCCTTCGGGACCTGTGAGGAGCTCCTGCTCACCAGTATTTCCTAGGTGTCTACCGTCCTCCTCCCCGCACCCTGCTCCCCCCGGGAAGTGACAGCCCTTCTCAAGGTTCTCACCTGTATAGGAAAAGCCCCCTCGCCTGGGGGTGGCTAGGACCAGGGTAGGGATGTGGCAGGGTCTGCGACAGGAAGACTGACTGGTATCTTGGGGATTTGCCCATAATCATGGGGTTGTCTAGCCTGCTAGTGGAGGGCAGTGGCCTGACCAAGAGTTTGGGCTACCTGATGGTGAACCAGATGCAAGGGCAGGACTGTCTTCTGAGAGACGTCTCCCCCTTGACTCTTCTGTCGCTTCAGACATTCCAAGTGGAAGGAGGCCCTACGACCTGCAAAGCCAGCCAAAGAACCGGGCTCAGCACAGGAAGGGTGGGTGCAGGTCTGTGACGGTTGTACCCAGGGAGGGGGCAAGGGGCAGTGTTAGTGGCCCCGGACACACCTCCTCTTTCCCCTCCGCCTTTCTCTGAGACATATCATGTAGTATATGTCCAAGTCCCATCCCACGACCCCTGCCCTTGGAATTCTGTTCCGTTGTTTTGGAAATCAGCCCAGCCCACCGCCCAGCTGTAGGAACTTCTCAGCCCTCCCTGAGTGCCTGACCATCGATCTCAGAGAGAGCGCTGGCTGGCCACATCTGGAGAGCAGGCTGAGTGTTTACCTAGCGAGGCGGAGCGGAGGAAACCTCTCTTTGGAGATTGCCGGATGTCCCTCTTGTCCTCCTCGGGGGGTGTCAGCTGTCGATGCTCATCATCCTGATAAGAGAGCCTGGAACAGAGAACTCTTGGGGCTTGTTCCTAGAGGCTGAGAATTGCCACCCCAGAGGGACAGCTGCCAGCCCAGAAGGCAGTTTGCTTTTCTCCTTGGTGAAGGGAGCCCCCACCTTGTGCTTTCCCAAAGGTTTGGGGAGGGGCAGCAGGCAGCTGCCGCCCCAGGGAGCTGGGCCCGCTCTCTGGCGTGCAGTGCCTCACACAGCCTCTCTCCCGCGAGCCCTGCATTTCTGATCTGAGGCCATGGAGCCTCTCTTGGATTGAGGTTGTTGAGAACGTTGGAAAAAATTCTAGGCCCACAAAGTTCCTTTCCGGGAATGGCCTGGGCTCCTCTGTTTACATATGCTGATGCTGTTTATCACAACTACTCCCAAACATTCCCCCCCCCCCCCCCGCCCCCGCAGCTAATTTCTCCCTGCCTGTGCCCCTCTTCATCAAGAGCACGTAAGCAGCTGCCTACAACAAACACACAGTCCTCCAGGTAGTGAACAGCAGAGCTGGACGGATCTCAGGGCAATCTGGTCAATGGCTTCTATCACTTTTTTTTTTTTTGGGGAAGATTGGCCTTGAGCTAACATCAGCTGCCAATCCTCCTCTTTTTACTGAGGAAGATTGGCCCTGAGCTACCATCCGTGCCCATCTTCCCCTATTTTATATGTGGGACGCCTGCCACAGTGTGGTTTGATAAGCAGTGCGTAGGTCTGTGCCTGGGATCCGAACCAGCGAACCCTGGACTGCTAAAGTCGAGCGTGCGAACTTAACTGCTGTGCCACCGGCTGGCCCCTTTAGGCCTTTTTGATGGGGACTCACAATAAAAAGTATATTACATAGTTCCAGGACGCACAGACATACCCATTGGATAAACTCCATGAACCACGCCTACCTTTATTGCATGCATTGTACTCTGATGGCCTCTGTTCTACTTTAGTCTGCTCTACTTCATTAAAAAATGTCGGTTGCAATCCAATAAGTTGGTTCTACAGTCCTAGTGGGAGCAGCCCGCAGCCCAAGAAGCCAGGCTGCATTCTAACCCTTCATGTTACAGATGAGGCAATGACTGCCCCTGGTGTGAGTCCACACACTTCCAGCGGAGACGGCGCTGCCTTCTCTGCCCCCGGCATACTGCCTTCAAGCATTTGTAGATGTCATAAAAGCTTTTGAACGAAAACCGCCAAGACTTTCCTCTCATTTTCAACTTGGTAAGCCCTCCCTATTATATTTTCTTCTTATCCAAAGCAGTTAAGAAACCCTTCTCTTAAAAAATTCCAGCCCTGACAAAATCTCAGCAGTTTGCCCACAGCGCCCTCTACTGGGGGGCTTCGTGGTAAGTGGTCCCATAAACCTTTGTTCACTTGCCAACACATGCAGGTGTGTACCGGGTCTCACCATAAAATATCTCTATGGTGGTTGGCTGTAGTCAAAAAGTTTAAGAAAGAATGTTTAGAAATTTTCCTGAAAGCACTGTATCGTGAGGAAGGCGATGTGTGTGTGTGGGTCGGGGGCTTCATCTCCATAATGAGGTGACATGCTCTGATGTGTGGCCTCGTCCCTCCCCGAGTCAGGCCCAGAGGAGGCCTCCAGGGACGTGCCCCCTCCAGGGGCGGAGGCAGCAGGCTCACCTCTCCGTGGAGATGAGGCTGGGCTCGCTGCCGCGCTGGGGGTCTTCGCTCATCTTCACGTCATAGGTCTCCTCGTGAGAGACCTCCTCCTGACACACCATGGCTATCTGGCTCTCCCGGGAGGGGCACCTAAAGTGTCCAAGACGGAGAAAAATAATCAGAAACTGCCAGCCCTCCTCCCCTTCCCTCAGCAAGAAAGGCAGCACACGCACGTGCACACACATATGCACACGCACGCACACACAACTGCTGTGGCTTCTTCCTCCGCAATGCTGATGCAGCCACAGAACCACACAAGCATTAGAATTAGGGTTAGGATTCTACGTGGGAGAAGGACCTCTGGGTTAGGATCCAAGGAGATCGGAGCTCTGACCCCAATTCAGTTACCCTCTGGCTTAGGTCACCTAGCCCCCATGTCTCAGTATCTTCACCAACAGAATCAGAGTGACACATGCCCTGCCTGCCTCAGAGCTTGCTGTGAGTAACAAACAAAGGAAAAGATGAGACAATGCTTTGAAAGGTGGGAAGGGTCAGCTTTTAAAGAAGGGTCCTGGGCTGAATATATAGGGCAGGGTGGGCCAGTGAGAGGGCTGTCCCTTCTCTCTACTATAGACAGATAGGCCTTTGGCATTTATGGGGCAGAGCTGAGAAGTTACTGGTGTCATATCCTGACATGCCTTGGAGTTTGAGATCAGCTCCCTGGAATGAAGGCACAGAAAATCCTCACATAGAGGGTTTATTCTTCCGAGCAGAGGGGCATGAACCTGAGCCCCTGCTGAGCCCGAGCCCCTGCTGAGCCTGAGTCCCTCCTAAGCCTGAGTCCCTCCTGAGCCCGAGTCCCTCCTGAGCCTGAGTCCCTGCTGAGTCTGAGCCCCTGCTGAGCCTGAGACCCTCTCACACCAGGATGTGCCTTGGATTATATTGCTTTCCCTCCAGGCCAGGGTCTTCTGCTCATTTGGTCATGTCTTCTTTAGCTCTGGTCTAGATGTTCTCCCTTTTCCTGTTTGCACCTAGCTTGGTGCCTCCCTCAATATTTCTTCCTATAGATCCTGAATGTTGGGGCCCACTTTATCCTCAGACCCAAGAGGGCATCAGAGAAATATCCCAGTTTATCCTTTCAGAGCTGAGTGCTGAATCGGGCCCCAGCTTTGAGCCTGGCCTGTGAGCCCCTCTGGAAGGGCAAGGGTAATTCTCTGGGGAAGGCCCCACCAAATGGCTGCCCACCCCACAGTCGGAAGGACAGATGAGATGTCGAAGGTTCTGGAGGGAGTGGGAGGACAGGAGTGCGGAAGGAGCTTTGGCACATGGGATGAGCTGGAGATGGAGAATGGCGGCAGGCAGGCAACACCACTTCTTGGGGGCTGCTGTGTGCAAGATGTGCTGGCATGTCCCCAGCAAAGACAAAGCCACTGCTGGAGCCACGGCAGTTAGCCTTGAGCTATGACACAAAGGACAAGGCCCCAGAGCCAGAACTTTGGTTAAGTGGTTCCTCTTCACCAAGCTGAAGCCTGGTGCCCTGAGTGTGGTTTTCCACCAACTATGAGGGAAGGGAGGGGGCCAGCGTTTACTGAGCACTGACTATGAGCTAGGCATGGTGCTAGGTGCTTTGCGTGTGTCACATGTCATTGATAGATGTGTCTGTGGGGAAAGGAAGAAAATCCCCTGATGGCTTTCCCTATTTCCTCTCTAAAAATCACTCTCCCTTTATTTAACACAGAACAAAGTTTAATATGAAAACACTTTTTGAGGGAGGTATTAGTTGACACTGAGAAGCCACTGATGGACACAATAAACCTTCCTTAAGAAGAGGTTTTGCTAAGGCGAGCGGGGGAGAAAATGGTACTAGGACTGAGCCCCTGAAGGCTGCAAAAGGGGAGGAGGGCTGCAGAAAAGGGAGTGGGCCACCAAGACCACCAGCCTCCACATCCAGCGGGGCCGGCCACTTAAACTCTGACATTCTCCTATGCAAAGCCAGCCTCTTTGATCAGCATACAAAACCAGGGCTGAGCACACTGCCTTGCGCATAGAGGGCAGCAATATATGTCGCCTGAGTCGAAGGACTCACCCAACACTGCTTTTGGGGGTTTAACCGGCCAGTCTTCCAGAGAGTAAGGTAGATGGATGGCCACTTTGACTTGCCTATCATCAGATACCATTAAATTCCCAGGTTGTGTGGGCTTACATGTGGCCACTTGATAATGGGTGTTCTGAAGGGAACCAGGGCAGGGCTGCTGGCTCCTTGGATGAAAGCAGTTTCAGGACACTTGTCTGGGGATTTAGAAAGACATTTGCACTTCTTGATTATTTTCTGAGCTAGAGGGCGGGAAAGAAGATCTGCCCAAGAACCTGGCATGCTGGGGTCTGCCGTCCTGCTGTAGGTGGCTGCCCTGCTCTGGAAGAGCACCCTCACTAAGGGTGGTATGGCAAGATGCGGAGGCGTGTCGTCTCCCATCCCACCTCGGGAACCCTGGAGCTGCTGACACAAACGGGGAGAAGACCCTCCCGGCCCAGGCCTGGAGCACGGGAGGAGGCACCTACCATCCCAACACATCACAGCAGTGCATCCTGGGGCACCAAGGAGCAGAGGACGGGGGAAAAGAGCGAGTCCGCAGGTGGGAGGCGCAGTCAAGACTACCAGGACTGATGCTACACTGGGGCCGAATGGGCAAGTGCTACAGCCAAGGGCCTCCTGCCACCAAAATGCCTCTCCATGGAGGGATGAGAAGGGTCTAAGCAAGAGGCGGGGTCTCTATTCCCATCCCAGTTGGGCCGAAGGCCAGGCTTCGGCAGAGACTTGGGAAAGGCCAGGGAACTATTGTGTAGCTAGGATGCAAACATCACAGGGGCAGCAGCCGGGGCTCCTCTGCTCAAGGAGGCTGAGAGCAGAGGAGGCTCTGTCCAGAGGTGTGCGCCTCCGAACCCGGCGGCCAGTGGGGCCACTGGGCCTTCCCCTGAGCGCGGCTGCCACGTTTCATCAAGGGTAGGACTTGGGTGGCAGCGTTTGCCTAGCTGTCTCTCTGCGGTCTGGGGCAGCAACCTCACCCCAGCTTGAGGGGTGAGTGGCAGGCCTCGGGGCCAAGCTCTCCTCCCCCCGTTCCCCTCTGGGCTGGAGTGCGGGAGGCCCCCGTGCACCCTAGGTGCCCCACCCTCCTGCTTACCTCTTAGAGCTGAGCTTCCACGCTGCCTCCTGCACCCGGATGGCAGGAGACAGGGGGAGCCCATGGCCCTCCACGGTGCTGACCGCGCTGGGGTAGCCGGTGGGGCGGGGGAAGCGGCCCAGGGCAGTGTTGTTGGCATTGTTGATGTTGGCGTTGGAGCCAGTGGACGAGTAGCTGCTGGGGGTGAAAGTGGAGTCCACCAGTTTCTCGTGGGATGGCGACTCAGTGTCGCCTTGGCTGTTACCCGCCTTGTTGATGTGCAGCGGGCGCTGGGTGGTGAAGGTCTGGGGGTAGGCGCTCCGGCCGTCGCTTTGGTAGTAGCTGACGTGGTTACCGAACAGGCCACCAGCCCTCTGCAGGCAAGATGGGAGGGGTGGGTGGAGGAGAAGGCCCCTCAGCCACCTCTCCCCAGACAGCCAGCTCGGAGAAGTGCGGGCATGGAAGGTGTCTGCCCTGCCGAGTGTGGCCACGCCAGGCAGCACATGGCCAGCCAGGAATTCTTCACCCACATGGCCTGGCAGCTCAAGAAGGAGGGACCCCGACACTCCCCTCTAAGACGGCTGGGGGAACGGTGGGGAGAGGACTCCTGTGGAGTCAGGCAGGGAGGCTGCTGCCTGGAAATTTCTAATGACCCCCCTGAAGACGGGTTGAGTCTCAAGGACAAGTCTAGGACGGCAATCCGTAACTGCAGCCAGCAGCTTGCCCTGGCAGCTCTGAGGCAGGCACTGTGAGGGCCAAGGGATGGGGAAAGAGACCACAAGTTTCTAACCAGATTTTTAAAAATGGAAATCCACTGGCTCACTGAGCTAGAAATTGTGTTGGCCAAATGGTTTTGAAAATAAGGAAGAATTTACTACATCAATCATTTTATGGCTTCCTTTCTCCAGGAGATTCTTGGAGATTTCAAATCAGGAACGAATGTTTTTTCTCAGCATTCTTTCCTTGTCCTGGGCAAGTGGGCAAGTAGCTATTTGTAAGGGTTGGTCTAATCCTTGACATCAGAAGGTCGCTAGGCTTTGCTGACAGGTTTCTGGGGTCTCATTGGGGTGGTGTTAACGTGGTGATGCATCCCCGAGGCCATTCAGTGATGAACATTTCATAGTGATGAGAATGAGGATGGTGATGAGAAGACAGCCACAGGCGGGACGGGCTCATCTTACCTCACCGTGTTCGACAGCCCGGGGACCGGGCATGGGGGCTGGGAGGGACAGGGCCTTGGTGCAAGTATGGTTGGTAGCTTCTCCCTTGCTATAGAAGGATTTTTAGCCAAATACCTTCAGGGTACCACAAATGAGTGAAGAGAGCTGGACATAAGAGTTCTGTTTTTCCTGCACGGTCCTGTTTAGTTTTCCTATTGCAGCTGGTCAGCTTCCGTGTCCAGGAGCAGAGACAGAGGCCGGAGGGGACTTTAGTGACCTGAGAACACACGCTCTATCCCCAAAGGACAATCGACTCTTGGTTTCAGCCCTGTGCTGCCATATGAGGACCCAAGCACAATATTGCCAGATCTTCTGATTTTTTTTAAGAGAAGCCAGAAGTCTAGATTTTTATTTGAAGGTGCCAGATTTTCAAATGTTGGCAAACAAAATAGGTCTGCAGATTAGACGTGGCCCAGGGGCCACCACTTTGCAACTTCTAATGTTGCAGTTTCTCTTAGGAAACGTTTCCCTTAGGAAAGTGGCTCCTCCCCTCCTTCCCTGAGAGCCAGCGAAGCTCTGGGAGCTGCCATATCCGGGAGCCCTGGCCTCAGGTGGAGTCAGGCTTGGAAAAGACAGTGGGATAGGAAACAGCCGAGCGGGATGAGCTTGGAATCTGCCATAGAGCTCAGGGCTGTCTCCCTGGATCTTCTGGCAGACACCAGCTCACCCTCTGGCCTCACACTGAACTTTACAAAGGGACATGAGTGCGACTGTGCATCTACCCACCCTGAAGATGTCATCCTCGGAGGCCGCACACACGGCCTCCTTCATGGCCTTGTCCAGCTCCTCCTCGGCTGTCAGATCTCCAGAGATGGCCCGTCGGATCTCGGGCCCGATGTCGTGCAGGGTACGCAGGCCGGCCTGGAACCCAGAGGGACATATGAGGGCCCTGGCGCTCCTCCCCCCAGTCACCTGCCCCTCTGCTCCTCCGCATGGTAGGCGAGCCTCCCAGGCTATGTCTGCGTGTGCTAACCAGGGGATGTGCTTTGAGACCTCTCGTGTCTGCCCCAGAGTGGAAGAATCCATTCATGCACCCAGGAAGGATGAAGGCGCATGAGCAGGCTGTCATGGACACTTGGACAGAGTTCCAGAGAGGTGGGGGGAGCCGGGGGGGCCACGTGCAGCAGGCAGGATTGTGGAAGGCAGTGTGTGGGGAGCATGGCAGGCGGGAAAGGAACGTGTCACCCCCCTCAGCATCCACCTTGGAGCTCTCTGAAGGGACCTGGCCTCCAGGCTGCAGGTGAGAGCCTGGGCCCTGGCCCGAGGTGGAAGGTGAGGAGGCTTCCCCGGGGTGGGGCCCTGGCCCCTGGCCTCTCACCTGCAGGGACAGGGCGTTCCTCTGGGAGGGCTTGCCCACAAGGCCCTGCTCTTTGCGCTTCTTGAACTTCCGGAAGTACTCTTGGATCAGGAAAGTAGCGTAAAACTTGCCAACCGTGACCTCGTCATCTGAGACATGCGAAGAGAGGACAGGGAACTCAGCTCGCTTCTGTAATCTTTTTTCAGCATCCAAACTTTCTTAAATTTTTTAAATTTAATTTTTTTGAGGAGATAGTACATTCACATAGTTCAAAGAGATAAGATATACAGTGAAAAATCTCTCTCCCACGGCCCGATCTGCCTAGATACCACCTCCTAATACATAATCTTTTTATTAGTTTCTTGAGTATTTTTCCAGAGATTCTTCACACAAATGCTTTAAGCAAATAAGCAAATATATTCTTATCCCTTCTTCATTTTAACAGAAAAGTGGCGTATTGTCAAAATTATTTCCCTCCTTGCTTTTTTTTCACTGAACTGAAATTTCTAACTAGTGCTTATTTGATGCCAAAGCTTCAGATGCCCATCACACATTGACCAGTCCCCTAAGTGCAAACAGTTCTGCTGAAAGGCTGATGGGAGGGGTTCGTGGAAGGAGTGCCTTCCCCCTGTCTAAGTTTGGGTTTTTCTTTCAACCAGACAGATTGGGTTATCTTACCATGTGGCTTGGCTGAGTCCTTCCAGGGCTGGGCACCCAAGTTACACATGACATACTCAGACTCTGTCTTGGGAATGAACCAGGTGGTGGAGAAGCCAGGGAGTCTCCGAGGGGAAATTTCATGCCCTACCAGTAGCCTCTTTGCTCCATCTCCCTGTTCTTTGTGAAGGGCAGGGCAATAGGCCTGGGAGACAGCCGGCTGGGTTAGATCTAGGGCCAGTGATGGTTTGCCTGCTCCTAGTTGTCCCCTAAGAATGGCCAGCTCCACCGCAGTGATGGTCTTCCACCTGGCGAGAGCCTCATTCCCATGTGGGAGGGAAAGGTCTGAGCCCCCTATCTGGGGCAGTCAGGGAAGAAGAGCTGCAGGGGGAGGGCCAGGAGTCCCGGCGTCCCTCAGACCTGGGCGTGAACCCTGAATCTGCCGTGTCCTCTCCAGGTAGCCTTGGGTCAGCTATTTAGCTTCTAAGAGCAAATTCCTTGAGCGAACTTCATAGAGATGTTGTAAGGATTAAATAAACTAACGCCTGTAAAACATCAGGTGGTGCTCGGCTGTCCAGGCGACCCTTCACTCAGCCCCAGTCCTGCCCGCCCTGGCGAAGTGCTTCTCCACAGGGGTGGAGTCACCCTTTAAGGAGTGTTTTGGGAGTGCATGGGGCTTTTTCAGTTGTCACAGTGACTGGGGGTGCTAGTGGCATTAACTGGTTCTAGATGTGTCCTTAAAGCAGAGAAGTGTTTTGCACAGCAGATAATAGCTTTGTTGCATAGCTCCAAGCATTATGCTAGACGTCCATGTCGGGGAACAACTTGATTATAATTATTTGAGCTAAGAACCTAACTTCACTTTACATCCGAACACAAACGTTTTTTGTATGGTTTTACCATAACCGGAATTTACCAGGAATACAACTGCTGTGTAAATCGACGGAGGACTGTACTTTGCTTTGTTTCAACTTGACCAAGAGGGGTTCACATTTTGGAAAACCGTATCCCTGATGGCAATGCCCCTTGTGTATCTGAGTCACCCACTGTATCTCAGTTGCCTGCATCATTCTGCATTTATTCTAAGGAAGTGCATGCACCTAAGTGTATGTGTGTGTACACAGCACGCGCACGTGTGTATAAATATACTTAGCCTTTACTTCCAAATGACAAATACAAAATGTCAACAATATTCAATATTACCTTACTTCCTTTAAATACAAACTTATTCATCATAAGTGGGTGCATGCAAGCATTTCATCAGTTAATTATTACATCTGGCATAGTCGTGCCTCAATATTTATATATATTCAAAAACATTTGATTTTAATATATTTTATATCAGAGTGGAAGCATTTTCTTAATATTTTGGAAATTATATCTGTAGGGAGGGTCTATTTATAATTTTCATTCAGGATAGTAGTAGGGGCGTTAGAAACTACTTGTTATAAAAAGGGGCTCTGGACTTGATAGGGACAAGAAACACCGCCCTGGAAAGAACAAAAAGAATTTCCACCAAGAGGGAATCTCAGGGCCCCATTATTCCTGGAGCAATCAGCTCACTGGTTTATGGGGAAACCCAGACTTTGCAGAGTTTCCTTGGAAGTTCTGCCAAGCTTCTAAGCATCAAGGGGGCTTGCCTGGCCCCATCTGTGAAACGCAAGAGTGGACCAGACTCCCAGCCCGAGAGCCTCTGTGAGTTTGGGAGGGCATCGCACCCTCGTCGCTTCTCACCCAGAGGGCCTCCGAGCCCACAGGCAGGGTGTGGGGAAGCCAGGTCTCCTGCACGGCTGGTGGACTCAAGGGTACAGGTCTCAGGGACGTGTCCACCGTTCTAATGGTGCCACAGCTGGAGGACTGGAGGAGAAGAGGAGCCGAGAAACCGTGTAGGGGGTGGGGCAAATGCGGAGGGATCTGAGAGCAGGCCGCGCTTACCACCTGCAGGGGGCACCACTTGGTCCAGCAGCTTCATGCTGGTCCGCTTCCAGATCTTCTTGATTATGGCCCGCAACTCCTCATTGGCTTGTTCCAGGTTCCCTGAGGGGAGGGAGATGCAAGGCTGAAATGATCGTAGCCCCTTGGAGGGTCCTCCTGTGGGGTGGGTCCCTCTGCATAAAGTGGGAAGCCACTGCTGGTGGCACTTTGCCCCAACCTGCCCGTTTCACTTTCTTTCTCCCCATTGTCCACCTTCATCCCTTTTCTCTTTATATTGCTCTCCCTTTTCCTTCCCCTGTCCAATGCCATTCCTCTCCCCTTCTTCCCTGCCTGCTGCCCAGGTGTCCCTTCACCCCACACACTGCTTTTCCTGGTGGGTGGCCCTTGGAGCTGACAAGACTGTGCTTGACAGCCACCCGCCAGGAGAGCATAGGGCTGCTCCAGTGGGTGGCATTTCTCACGGCCTCCGTGGGGGACTGGGGAAACGTGGGTGCTTGGAAGGAAGAGCAGTGTCCCGCTGCGAACTCATGCAGAGCATCCACACGCAGGGGGACCTCTGTCTCAAAGCCCTTTGCTGAGTCTCCTGTGGGGAGGAGGTGACAAAATCTCACAGTGGAAGCAGAAATCAGAAGATGCTGGGTTCTGTGGTTTTGGAGCTTCTCTGGGTCCACTTTCTCCACTGGTAAAACAGGCTTAATTAGATGCCCGTCTCATGCAGCCTCCAAGATACTGGCCTGATAGCTATGAAAAAGGAAAGCTGAGATGTGCAGCTGTGGGAGAGGGTGTGGTAGGCAGGATGCTGGATCCCTCCAAACCTTCTTCCCCCACCACCAATATACACACACCCTGCATGATCCCTGGGACTGTAGATAATGATGGTTTTTACTCCTGGATTAGGTCTTATCATATGGCACACATGATCTCGAGATGGGGCGATCATCTGGATGGGCCTGACCTAACCACATGAGTTCTTTGAAAGTAGAGAGTTCTCAGGCACAAGCTTCCAGTCACACAGTAAATAAGCCATGCAATGTAAGGCACAGCATGGTGACTATAGTTAATAATACTGTGTTTTATATTTGAAACTTGCTAAGAGAGTACATCTTAAAAGTTCTCATCACAAGAAAAAAAATTGTAACTGTGTGTGATGGATGTTAACTAGTCTTATTATGGTGATCATTTAATACTATATACAGATTATGTTGTACACCTGAAACTAATAGAATGTTATATTTCAATTATATCTCAATAAAAAAATAAAAAATAAAACAAAAGCCAAAACAAATAGGGCCTGGCCCAGTGGCATAGTGGGTAAGTTCACGTGCTCCCCTGTGGCAGCCTGGGGTTCATGGGTTCAGATCCCAGGCATGGACCTACACACTGCTCAACAAGCCACACTGTGGCAGTGTCCTGCATGCAAAATGGAGGGAGATTGGCACAGATTAGCTCAGGGCCAATCTTGAAAGAAAAAAAAGGAAAGACGGAAGGAAGGAAGGAAGGAAGGAAAGAAGAAAGGAAGGAAGAAGGACAGAAAGACAAAAAAACAATGTGTGAAGGGGGTCAAAAGATAGAGAGTTCTCTCCAGCTGTGAGTAGGGGGAGGAGTGGAGAGATGGTGCCACTGTCCTGGCAGAAGCACACAACATGCTGTGAACTGAACTGAAAGAGACAGCTCTAGGGGCTGAGTGGTCCCCAGCTGAGAGCTGGTCCTACCACTGCAGAAGATGAATTCTGCCAACAACCTGGATGAGGTGGGAAGGGGGTTCTTCCCCAGAGTCTTAGGAAGAAGAGCCATCCTGATCAATATCCTCATTTGGCCTCGTGAGACCCTGAGCAAAGAACCCAGCTAGGCCGTGGCTGGACTCCTGACCTGTTTTTAGAACTGTGATCTAATAACCGGGCCTTGTTTTAAGCCAAAAAGTTTGTGGTAATTGATTACGCAGCAGTAGGAGACCAACAGTGAGGATGCTTACTGCTGTTACACAGGGGAGGCAGGACAGAACAGGGTCCAGTGCTCTGGCCTCAGACTGCCTGAGACGACATCCGCCCTGTGGCCACGTGGGAGAGGCTCCGGGAAGGAAGCCCAACAGGAGCATGCAGAGGTGGCAATGCAGAGAAAGTGATGGGCCCCTGACTCCCCTGTTCGAACATTGGATCCAAACAGGAAGTGAAGCCAGAGGACAACTCCTGGGCGCTCCAGTTGTGGAGGCAATCAATTCCCTTCCTGGTTAAGGTGGTCAGTGGTTTCAGACACATGCAGCAGAAGAGTCCTAATTACTTTAATGCTCAGATACACTTATTGTCTGTAGTGGGTTGACGAGTGTCCCCCAGTCATGTCCCCAGAGCTTTTGCCTGTGACCTGAGTTGGACATAGGCTCTTTGGTGATTGATTAGTTATGATGAAGTCACACTGAATTAGGGCAGGCCATAAATCCAACATGACTGGTGTTCTTACAGGAAGAGGAGAGGACACACAGAGACACCCGGGGACGAAGTCAGTGTGAGATGGAGGCAGAGACCGGAGTGACACAGCTACACGGCCATGAGTGCCGAGCACTCCATCAGGACCCAGAGCCTCCATAAGGACCCAGCCTGCCGACACCTCGACTCAAACCCCTGCCTCCTGAACTATGAGAGAGCACCTGCCTGCTGTTGCTAGCCCCCAAGCTCGTGATCATTTGTTAGGGCAGATCTAGGCAATGAATGCATCTTCCAAAAGGATCTTTCACAGGTTTTCGAGCTTGAATCTTCCCACAATGATTGATGTAAGTGTGGAACTCCACCAACAGTTGTGGCATATCATTCGAGTGTATTAAAACCTCTTCCTTCTCTATTTCAAAGGTTTCTCTGGCTTGAGACTGGACTTGGGACGAGAGGCGTGGTCCTCTGAGGTAGGCATAGTTTCTCTCCAATTCCTCCCACTCTCGAAAGTCTGAAGGATAAGGACTGACGTAAGACTTATCCTCACAGATGTAGATGCTTTCTCACATTTCTTCCTAGTTGCTTCTGATACCGGCCCTGATATCAGTTCCCCCACATTAAACCCAGCATATATGGGGTTGAAACCCAAACACTCATTCCCAGCTTGCTCCCTGGCTTCCTGGCTCCAGAATCCACTATCCTCCTTGGAGACAGACACCACCAAGGACAACCACCTGGATTCCTTATCTCCTCCCCACAAAGAGATACAGGCTGGTGGGAAAGCTGCTGACCAGCAAGGTCACGGGCTCCCTCCTCTCTGCAAGTGTCTCAAGGCCAAAGACAGGCTGGTGGGAAAGCTCCGACCAGCAAGGCCATATGCTCCCCCTCCCCTACCTAAAACCCCAAATAAAAACCCCTCCTTTCAGCTTTTCGAGGAGTTTGGGATTTCAGTGTTAGCTGCCCTCTCTCCTTGCCCAGCACTGTGCAATAATAAAATTCCTACTTTCTTCCATCACACCTGGTGTCAAAGATTGGCTTGCTGTGCAACGGGTGAGCGAACTCACTTCAGGTTCGATCTCTCTTCTAAGAACCTGCCTTTGTCTCCCAGACTTCAGAGCCCCACAGGTTTGTGGGGGGCTTGTCTCTGATGCAGGTTTGCCTCGGAGTTGGCAACGCAGCTGTTTGGAAGATAGTCCGTTTTTAAACTTTTTATTTTTTTGTGGCAAGAACATTTAATATGAGATCTACCCCCTTACCAGGAGTTGAAGTGTGCAATACAGTATTGTGAACTCTGGGACAAGGCAGCACAGCAGATAAACGTCTTTGAGTTGAAAGCTTTCTTTAATTCTTGACCGACTGCAGCTCTGGTGGGGCTGGCTGCTCCCCTCGTCTCCTCTGGCTCAGCTGTGGGTGTGGGACTCTGGGCTCAGCTCGGCTGGTGTCGCTCTCTTGAGCTGTCGGAGTTCTTTCCCTGGGACTCAGTTTGCTCTGATGGCGCATCTCCAACGGCACTGAGTCCTGGCTTCAGTGTGCTGGTGAAAGTTTATACCCTCAATTCACGGCCTGCTTTAAGTGTTGCTGTGTATTCCTTCTAGTACTCACTCCATCTTCTCTCCTGAGAAAAGAAGATCTTGCCCCAGACGGAACTGCGATAATCGTCATTGTAGAAAATTTGGAAAGTAACAAAAGCAGAGGAAGAAGGTAGAAATCACTGCCGATTCTACCCTGAGTGAGAGTCACTATCAACATATTGACAAATTTCCTTTCCATTTTTCTCCTAATGTGTGTATGTTCAGTGTGCATTTAATTCTTTCAGTGTCAGAAATAGCCCACTCACACTATTTCAGATTGAGTTACCGCACTGGCTTCTGAGAGAACATTCCTTAGCCTTTGTTTCTTTTTAGTTTAGCAGCAGAACTTGAACTACTGAATTTTTTTTAAGATTAGTTCATTATTTAGACATGTATCTTGCTGGACTGGTTCTTGTTTTCCTTTGTTTCAGATGTTTCTATTATTTTCTGGAAGGATTTAGCCAAGAGAAGGCATGCTCTGGGTTATTCGCTGAACTAACTTCCCTTTATGTGATTACCCTTCTTATTTGACACATGAAGAAACGACGTAGACAGAGAATACATGACTTATCGTGCACGTCATCAGAATCCATCTCCCATCTCCCTGCCCAGTGCTCCTTCCATCACACCGAGGAGAGTGCTGTCACCAGCAGCCTGAGACTCTAAGATGGAGACAGGAGAAGGAGAAAAGAAAGCACACTGCTGGCCCACTTGTGCCAGTTCTAAATGCTGCACCGGCAGGGTCAGACTTTAGTTCACATGCGAATCGTCTGTGTAGTTGGTTCCAAATACAGATTCCTGAGCCCCACTCTCAGAGATTCGGATTCAGCAAATCTGGGCTGGTGATAGGGACCCAACATTTTAAACCAGTTCTCTCAGCAGATTCCAAGGCAAGCGGCCTCCTGACCACGCTCTGCGAGACACTGCGGTGGGCCGGGAGCTCTTGGAGAGTGACGGTGTCTTCTTAGGGACATTTTATACAGCCTTTTCCACAGAGTGGTTCAGAAATAATCATCAACGATGCGGACAGCAGATTGTTTCAGCCAAGGCTGCTGCTAACAGGGCACCGTTATGCGAACCAGAAGAAGGCGTCCTTTCAGGTGGACCCGGCCTGAGGGAGCGTGGCTGACTAGCACAGCACAGGTGAGGTCTTAACTCCCAGCAGTCAGCTGCACAATGGTATGTGGTGATCACAGCCACAGTCACCATTTGCCACTGTGACCCCTTCCTGACACAAGTCCTTTTCACTTAAAAAGAGCTGAGCACTTGAGAGGCCCACTTGTAGCCAGTAAAATTCCCTGTTGATGGGGCTTGGTCCTGCTCCAGGTAATACGCATCTTCTTCTGCTTTTTGAACTATGACTTCAAAATATCACCTAGAATAATTTCTATGGTTTGATGGAAAGCTTGAGTTCAAAATAAATAAGCTAGAGGCAAGGAGGCCATTCAAGAAGCAAAGAAAACATGACCAGGCCAGGCCTCTAACTTCCCCAGACGAAGGTAATTGCTGGCCCACGTGGCTCTGCTGCTGCGTGGGATGGGCAGGTCCGGGGAGCACTCTGCAGGCCGCTGAGTCCTTTGATTGGTCGGCTACATCTTCCCAGCGGCCCTCCCAGTGGCCTGTGGGGGACTCTTACCTTCTGTTTTGATCCTGAGGGCTGTCCGGACCAGGGCAAACAGGGTGGCATTGAACATGACCGTCCCATCGCTATTCAGAGGCATGTTCATGGAGACCAGGCGCTGGAGGGGAAGAGGAGGCAGAGCTGGTGATTACAGAAAATGGTTCTCCACGGACCAACAGAACCGCCACGGCTGGAGAACGCTGAGGGAGCGCGAAAACTGGGTGCGTGTGTCGGGAGTGGGTGGGCGCGTAAGCATGGCTCACTAAAATGTATTCAGAACCTGTTCTGGGGAAAATCTTGGCTCTGCTGTAAGTACTCTCGCCCCTCCACTTTGAGGAAGGGATGGAAATTGTCCTCATTAGACCCTTGCTTCCACAAAAGGAAGTTAAGCAGCCCAACCCCCTTCCCCGCTCAATGTCTGCTCAGGCAAGTGGGTGTGCTCTCTACTGGCAACAAGAACAGCTACATGCTGGGCAGTGGCTGGGAGCCCCCACCAGCCAGCACTAACTAGTGCCCGGCAAGAGAGCCGGCAAGGGAGGTGTGCTTGCAGGAGAGGCAGTGCACCATCTTTTCTGTATATTGAAAACACACCTCTCCATCAAGCTGGATCGGAGGCTTGCTGATGCTGGACAGGATCGTACTGCCCCCTCCCTCCTTTCCCACCACCCAGACTCGCTGCCCTCGCTCTGTGCTCGGGCGCAGGGCCCTCAGCACACAGCAGGGTCCACTGCCGTGAAACTCAGCCTGGCGTCTGCTCCTGGACGTGGGCAAGGATGTGACCGGTTAGATCACACAGCATCTTCCTGTCAATTGTTGTGCCAAGAGGGCTGTAATTTTCCTGAACGACTGGATCTTCCTGAATCTCATGGACAGTGTGAACTGCCCGTGGCCACTGGGAAGCTTCCTGCCCAGTCCGCAGCCTGTCCAGGCCCGCGGGAGGCGGCGTACAGGCCGAACTTGCTCCTGCTCCTGTCTCCTACTCTGCTTTCACCTGAGATGTAACCTAGTCTCTTTTATACTCTCGGAAAGCTTCTAAACTCTTTTCTGGAATGAAGTGGAGGTGCAAATGAGAGAAGACTGAGAAAAACAGAGCACAAGTAGAAGGCTCTAAATTCCTTCAATTCTCCATTTTCCATGAGTGTATTATCCACAGAGCTGAATTTTTCTGTGTTTCTTCCTCTGTACAGTGCTCTGACCTCACTTCCTCCCAGCCCTTTTTCCGCTCATCGTTATTCCAACAGAGAGTACAGAATGGCGAGAACAGAAGTTGAAAGAAGAGGGGAGAGAGTGGAGACGACTCTTCAGCGACCGCTGGGCTACTGGGTGGGGGTTACCGAGGGGCAAGAGAGGCACTGGGCACACAGCTTCAGGGACGCTCACTCTCCAGCTCAGGCAAGGGCCGCACGAGCAAGAGCTTTGCCTAACAGAACCTAGGATGCTTGTCTCAATCTTTTTTGGGTCATGGACTCACTTAGAAATCTGATGAAAATATGGATCCTCCCCCTAGCACACTGTGTGAGTGTTGCAGAGATTTTGTGTACAATCTTAGGGCTTCACAGGTCCCTGAAGCCAAGGCCTGGACTCTCAAATGGACTTCTGATCCCAGGGAAAGAACCCCTAATCCATCCATCCTAGGCGGGGAAGTCTTCCAGGACCCCTGGGTGATGTGGCCCGATGTGGCAGCAGAGCCTTCTCTGAAGAAGGTCCTTTATTTAGGACTGGGCATGGGCTTCGGGGCCAGGAGGCCTTCACTCTGCTGTTCTTTATAGAGTCTGAGAACTTATTGCTAGAAGGAACCTTAAAATATAATCTGGCCCAGGCTCGTTTCTTTAGGCACAGAAAATATTGTCTTTATTCCCTTAATGGATCAATGTCCTGACCAAGGTCACAAGACAAATGGGCATCTTGCTGCCCATAATTCTCTTTCTCCCGTGAATCCAGGTCATCTCTTACTTTGCAAGCCACGCGGTGAGGGCACAGCTTCCCAAAACCCAGTGGGGGCTGAATCCGCCGGAGCAGCGTGACCACATCTAGGTGTTTGATCCGACCCCTGGAAGAGGAAGGAGAGAAGAGAACTATCAGTGAGAAGGGTCATGGTCTCGGCCAACAGTCCAGCTCGTGTGCCTGAGCGGCGGGGCCACCTGCAGGAGGAACTCCTCATAGCCGTAGCCCTAATGGTCAAACTCGGTGCAGAGTTGCAGGACTTCAGGGTCAAACTCCAAACCCAATATACGCATGTTTAGAATTTTAAAAAATTTGGTTTCACTCCTAAGCAGTGGTATGCATGAAATAATGGAGAGTTTGTTAGATTCGTATCTTTCTTATACGTATGAAAAGAAATCCATTGCTATTAGCACTTCCTGTTTATGTGTATCCACGCACGAGAACCACACTGTGGGAAAAATCAGGCTTATCCATCATCTTGACAACAATCCCTAAATAAGTCAGTGTTCTTTTGGGTGAAGTGAGAGAACCCCCAATCCAAATGACTTAAGCAAAAACTGGAACATGTGCCCCAGGAAGCAGCTTGATTCCGATCTCACACGCCCCCGCCCGCTGGCTGCGTCTCTCGGTGGCTCCTCTGCCCGGGTGGCTCCTCCCCGGCTCTGCGTGTTCTCAGGCAGACCCCTGACATTCTTAGGCTCACATCCCTATGACACTCAGGCAGGTGGAAGAGAAAGCTCAATATCCTCAGGAGTTGAACAAAAGTCCCAGAATTGAGTTTCAAGGGTCTTTAAAAAAAAATTGAGATATAATTGACATATAATATTGTATTAGTTTCAGGTGTACTTCATAATGATTTGATATATGTATATATTGTGAAATGATCCCCACAGTCCAGTTAATATTCATTACTACACAGTTACAATTTTTTTTTATTTTTTAGATTTTATGTTTAAATTTTAATGAGAAATTTCCATCAGTGCTATGTTCAAGGTGGAAGGGATTTTAGTAATGAGTAAAATTCTCAATGTGTACCTGCTGTTTTAGTCAACTAACCATCTGACCAAGTGGTATTTGCTGAGTGTCAACCACACGTGCTCAGTAGATGAGGGTGTCCTCGGACCTGAGGCAGGAATAGAGTCGAGATCTGCCTGGCCTCCACGTGCTAACTCGAGCACTTACTCATCCTTCCAACACTAGGATCTCGTATCCTATTCAACTGAAAACAGCAGCTATGTTCTTGACTTAGCCAAAGGTGCCTGGCCTCCTATTGCTGGCCCTTGATCCTTGACCCTGGGGTCTGGTGCAGTTCAGTGTTTCCCATCCATCCTCCTGATGCTAACCCGTCAGGAGCTCTTCTACACGTGTGATCTTGCAATCCCCTCTCTCAGCTCTGCAATCAGGACTTCCCTCTGGGAACTTACTTGGCTTCAGGGTCATACTCTGCCCAGATTCTTTTAAATTCATCCAGATGGTGGGGACCAAGGATGGACCAGTCCCTTGTCAGGTAGTCAAAGTTGTCCATGATGACAGCGACAAAGAGGTTGATGATCTGCAGAGGACAGAGAGTGATGAGTCTGTCTAAGAGGACCTTCCTACACACTGCCACTTGAATCCACTTTGCCAGCTGGTACATACATGGCAGAAGCCAACATTTCTAAAGACCAGCCATATGTCACCATTTAAAACACCAGCCCCTGGAACTTGGGTCTCTTGGATATGAACTTGACACTGCTCCCCTCAGAGTCATGTGGGATGAACCCCACAGGTGGGCTGCACAGCTTCCCACAGACCAAGCTGCTGGGTAGGGCTGCCGAGGACAGATGGCAAGCTAGTCCACCACCTTTCCCTCACTCCTCATCAAAGCACCAGAGGAGCAGAAGTTGCCTCTAGGCCTCCACACACACGTCCCCTCTGTCCTCTGGGACGGTGCCACCATAGGTGCCAAGAATGGACAAGAAAGATGCTGGCTGAGCTCACTCTGGCCCAGAGCCGTCTGCCCTTATCTCAGTGAGGTTGGACACTTCTACTGAGTCAGTCTTTTCAGGTTACCTCTAATGGGGCTGCCCCGACCCTGAGCTGCAGAGATGGAGGGCTCGGGCTGCCTGCACTCACACTCATTACCTGTGGCTGTTTAGTCCCACCTCAGCTTACCAGGAAGGCACAGAGCATGTAGAAGCTGATGAAGTAGAAGACGGCGAAGCTGCTGCCACAGGGCGTTTCCCCTTCCGTGCTGTTGCTGGGCTCCGACTCCGGGGCACACTTCTTCCCTGGCATGCAGGCCAGCATGATGTCCTGCCATGCCTCCCCTGTGGCACACCTAGGGGAGAGAGGTGAGAGCCCAACACCCATGCAGCCCATCTCGCGGCTCTGGATCCTTCTCCCACCCCTTGCCCCTTCCTCCTTCCCAGAGGAACTATTAAATGGAATTTGCTGTTTATCATTCCCTGAAGGCTCTGATATGTTCACTAAATACAAAAACATACAGCACTGTTTTGAATGTTCTAAAACTTTACATAAATGGTAACTGTACCCTTTCTGCAAACTCACTCGTTTTGCAATCCATGTGAAGTTTTTAACATTTAGCCATTTGGATATATTTTAGGTCCAGTTCATTCATCTTAACTGCTGTACAGCAGTATACTCTATGAATGTACCACTTAAAAAGCCACTGTCCTGTAAGGTTTTCCTTTTCTCTTTTTCACTATTACAAAGAACGTTGCAATCAGCATGCAGGTCCACGTCTTGGTTATCTGCTTAGAAGCGGAGCCACCAGTTGAAGGTAGCTGTACCTTCACTTTTACTACGTATTGCTTGTTCTCCAAGAGTCTGTCCAATTTATACCCCTGTCATCAGTGCAGGGAAACGCCGTGACTCTACAGATTTGTCGTCTCTCTTTCCTTCAGCTTTATTGAGGTAGAATTGACAAATTAAACTGTAAGATACTTGAAGTGTACATCGTGCTGATTTGATATAAACACACGTTGTGAAAGGATTCCTCGCACCTAGTTAACACATCCATCACTTCACTTATTTATCTTTTCTCTTTTTTTTTGATGAAAACATTTAAGTTCTACTCTGTTAGTAAATTTCAATTATACGATACAGTGTTAATCCCCATAGTCACGATGTTACACATTAGATCTTTAGACTTCATTCATCTTATAACTGAAAGTTTCTATCCTTCACCAACTTCTTCCTAATTCCCCCCCTCCCAGGCCCTGGCAACCACTTTTCTACTCTATGTTTCTGAGTTCAGACTTGTCAACCCTCCGTATTAGTAAATTTTTAAAAGTGTTGCTCATATGACGGGTGTGAAATGATATTTCACTGCTGTTTCAATATGGTTTTAAAATGATTAACGGGTTGAGAATTTTGATCTCATCTTCTGTTGAACTGCGTGTTCACATTTTTGCCTGTTTGTCTGATGGGTTGTTCGTTTTCCATTCATTTGTAGGGTTCTTTATATGCTCTTCACATTAGCCCTTTGCCAGTCTACGCACTGCAAGCACCTGCTTCAGTCTGTGTCTGGTCTGTAGCTTTACGTATAGTATATTTTGATGAATCTAAGTTTTAAATTTCAATGTGGTCAAATTTATATTTTTTCCTCTGTTTTGTGCTTTTTGTATCTTGTTTAAGAGTTCTCTATTCTAGGTTATAAAAATATTCTCCTACATGTTCTAGAAGTTATAAAATTTTGTTTTTCATAATAACACCTTATTCTGGAATTTACATCTGTACTCAATGTGAGGCAGAAACACGGTTTATCTTTTTCTGTGTAGATAACCAATTTTCTTAAGAAATTTATTGAATAGTCCATCTTTGCCTAGTGATTTGAACTCTCTCTTCTGACATAAGTTCCACAGATGTAGCGGTCTGGTGCTAGCCTTTTCATCCTATTCCACGGGTTTGTTTATCCATCTTGGTATGAATGTACCATATTGTCTTAACCACTCTAGCTTTCTAGTAAGTCTTGCTCCCTCGTAGAGAGTGAGCCCCTCCAGCTTGTTGTCTTTCAAAACTGTCTTGGCTATTCATTTTCCTTTTCTATTCCACAGACACATTGGAATCAGCTTGTCAAGTTCCATGAACAAACCCGTTGAGAGTCTCATTGGAATTGCATTAAAACATAGATTAACTTGGGGAATTTGATATTTTTGTGATGTTAAGCTCCCAGCCATTAATATGGCACATTTCTCCATTTATTTAGGCCTTATTTAATGTATTTTAATAAAATTTTATAACTTCCTCATATATGTCTTTTGTTAAATTATTTCTAGGTTCGGGGCCGGCCCCATGGCTGAGTGGTTAAGTTCATGCGCTCCGCTTCTGTGGCCTGGGGTTTTGCTGGTTCGGATCCTGGGCGTGGACATGGCACCGCTCATGAGGCCATGCTCAGGTGGCGTCCCACATAGCACAACCAGAGGCGCTCACAACGAGAATACACAACTATGTACTGGGGGGCTTTGGGAAGAAGAAGAAGAAAGAAAAGAGACTGGCAACAGTTGTTAGCTCAGGTGCCAATCTTAAAAAACAGAAAATTATTTCTAGGTATCTTATTTAAAACAAACAAACAAAATGTTGCTATTATAAATGGTACATTTTAAACGTTATGTTTTCTATTTGCTACTGATGTAGAGGGAATGCGATTGACTTTATATATAGAAGATTTGCTGAACTCTCTTATTACTTCTGTAGTCTCTCTTGTACAATATCTATAAGCAATTAACTGTTGTAAAGATGTTTTATTTCTTTTCTTTTTTTTCTACTGTGGTAAAATACACATAACATAAAATTTACCATCTGAACCATTTTGAAGTGTACAGTTCAGAGTTATTAAATACATTCGAACCGTTGTGCAGCCATCACCACCACCCATCCCCATGACTCTTTTCATCTTGGAAAACTGAAACGCTATGCCTACACAATAACTCTCCATTCCTCCTCCTCCCAGACCCTGGCAACCACCACTATGATTTTGATTACTCCAAGTACCTCATATAAGTAGGATCATACAGTTTTTGTCTTTTTGTGTCTGGCTTATTTCACTTAGCATAACGTCCTCAAGGTTCATCCATGTTGTAGCATATTGCAGAATTTCCTTCCTTTTTAAGGCTGAATAATATTCCATTGTACGTGTAGCCCACATTTTGCTTATCCATTCATGTGTTGTTGGGCACTTTGGTTGCATCCACATTTTGGCTATTGTGAATAATGCTACTATGAAGATGGGTGTGCAAATACATCTTTGAGACCCTGCTTTCAAATATTCTGAGTATGTGCTTAGAAGTGGAATTGCTGGATCATATGGTAATTCTACTTTTAATTTTTTGAGGAACTGCCATGCTGTTGTCCACAGCAGCTGTACCATTTTATATTCCCACCAACAGAGCACAAGGGTTCCAATTTCTCCACACCTTTGTCAACACTTGCTGTTTTCCGTTTTTTTGATACTAGCCATCCTAATGGGTGTGAGGTGGTATTTCTTTGTAGTTTTGATTTACATTTCCCTAATGATTAGTGGTATGGAGCATCTTTTCATGTGCTTATTGGCCATTGATATAACTTCTTTGGAGAAATGTCTATTCAAGTCCTTTGCCAATTTTTGAATTGGATTTTTTTAAATTTATTTTTTTATTGAGGTAACATTGGCTTACAACACTATATAAATTTCAGGTGTACATCATTATATTTTGACATCTGTATAGACTACATCGTGTTCCCCATCAAAAGCCTAGCTGCCATCTGTCACCGTATAGATGTGCCCCTTTGGCCCTCTTGTCCTCCCCCACTTCCCTTCCCCTCTGGTAACCACTGATCTATTCTCTGTGTCTGTTTGTTTCTTGTTGTTTTTTATCTTCCACATATGAGTGAAGTCATATGGTATTTGACTTTCTCCATCTGACATTCCACTTAGCATAATACCCTCAAGGTCCATCCATGTTGTCACAAAAGACAAGATTTCATCTTTTCTATGGCTGGGTAGTATTCCATTGTGTAAATATACCACATCTTCTTTATCCATTCATCCATTGATGGGCACCTAGGTTGTTTCCAAGTCTTGGCTATTGTGAGTAATGCTGCAGTGGACACAGGGGTGCATATATCATTTCAAATTAGTATTTTCATGTTCTTTGGATGGATACCCAGCAGTGGAATAGCTGTATCATATGGTAGATCTATTCTTAATTTTCCGAGGAAACTCCATACTGTTTCCCATAGTGGCTGCACCAGTTTGCACTCCCACCAGCAGTGTATGAGGGTTCCCTTTTCTCCACATCCTCTCCAACCTTGTTATTTCTTTTTTTTTTTGTGAGGAAGATTGGCCCTGAGCTAACATCTGTTGCCAGTCATCTTCTTTTTGTTTTCCTCTCCCAAAAGCCCCAGTACATGATTGTGTATCTTAGTTGTAGGTCATTCTAGTTCTTCTACGTGGGATGGAGCCACAGCATGGCTTGATGAGCAGTGTGTAGGTCTGTGCCCAGGATCCAAACCTGCGAACCCCAGGCTGCCAAAGCAGAGTGCACAGACTTAACCACTCAGCCACAGGGCCGGCCCCTCCTGATTTCTTAGTAACAGCCACCCAGATGGGCACGAGGTGATGGCTCACTGTGGTTTTGATTTGCGTTTCCTTAATAATTAGTGATGTTGAACATTTTTTCACGTGCCTGTTGGCCATCTGCATATCTTCTTTGGAAAAATGCTGGCTCAGACCCTCTGTCCATTTTTTAATCGGGTTCTTTGCTTTTTTTGTTGAGTTTTATGAGTTCTTTATTTTGGATATTAACCCCTTATTGGATAAATGATTTGCAAATATCTTCTCCCAACCAATAGGGTGTCTTTTAGTTTTGTTGATAGTATCTTTTGCCATGCAGAAGCTTTTTAGTCTGATGTAGTCTCATTTGCTTATTTTTTCTTTTCTTTCTCTTGCCTGAGGAGACATATTCAAAAAGCATAAAAAAAAAAAAAGCATTGCTGCTAAGACCAATGTCAAAGAGTGTACTGCCTATGTTTTCTTCTAGGAGTTTTATGGTTTCAGGTCTTACATAAAAGTCTTTAATCCACTTTGAGTTAATTTTTGTGTATGGTGTAAGATAATGATCTACTTTCATTCTTTTGCATGTGGCTGTCCAGTTTTCCCAGCACCATTTATTGAAGAGACTTTCTTTTTTCCATTACATGTTCTTGGCCCCTTTGTCAAAGATTAGCTCTCCATAGATGTGTGGGTTTATTTATGGGCTCTCAATTCTGTCCCATTTATCTGCATGTGTGTTTTCCCACCAGTACTGTGCTGTTTTGGTTACTGTCGCTTCGTACTATACTTTGAGATTAGGGAGTGTGATGCCTCCAGCTTTGTTCTTTTTTCTCTGGATTGCTTTGGCTATTTGGGGTCTTTTTTTGCTCCATATAAATTTTAGGATTCTTTGTTGTATTTCTGTGAAAAATGTCATTGGAACTTTGATAAGGATTGCATTAAATCTGTAGATTGCTTTAGGTAGTATGGACATTTTAACTGTGTTAATTCTTCCAATCCATGAGCATGGAATATCTTTCCATTTCTTTGTATCTTCTTCAATTTCTTTCAATAATGTTTTATAGTTTTCAGTGTACAGGCCTTTCGCCTCCTTAATTAAATTTATTGTTGTTTGTTTTTTCTTTTTGAGTCTGGCAATCAATTCTTTTTGGTGTTTAATTTTGTTTCTTCTTTTCCAATTCTTATCCTTTGAATTATTTTTCTTATCTTATTGCACTGGATAAAACTTGCAGTATAATGTTGACTAGAAAAAGTAATAGCATATGATCTTGTCTATTATAGTTACTAATTAGTTATTACTGCTATGAACTGAACTTCTGTGCCCCCCAGAATTCACATGTTGAAGCCCCAGCCCTCAGTGAGGTAGTGTTTGCAGGTGGGCCTTGGGTGGTAATTAGGTCTAGGTCAGTCCATGAGGCTGGGGACCCCAGGATGAGATTAACGTCTTTGCGAAAACAGGAAGAGAGACTAGAGCTCTCTCTCTCCACCATGTGAGGATGCAGCAAGACGGCGGCTGTCTGTAGGCTAGCAAGAGGGCTCTCATCAGGAAACAAACTGGCCAGGAGCCTGGTCTTGGATTTCCAGTCTCCAGAATCGTGAGAAAGGCATGTCTGTTGTTCAGCCACCCAGTGTTTGTTACAGCAGGCCGACCAGACAGATGAATTATCAGCACAGGAAAGAGAGTGTTTTTCTTTGTTAATCTTCCACCTTACTATTAATTGTTATATTAATTGTTATAAAGGATTTTGAGTTGATTTGCTTTGATTTTCCACTCAGATTAGCCTGTTGTTTGCAAACAATGACAGTTATGTCTATACATTTTCATATTTATACTTGCTTTTTTTTGTGTTCTTATTGGTATCAGCCTTATGTTAGTCTTATGGAATGACTGGGGAGGTTTTCTATTACTGGAAAGATAATTTAACATAGGAATAATCTATTCCTTGATATTTTGGCATACATCACACATAAAAATATTAGATCTTGGGCCTTTTTGAGGACTAAAATTTTACCTTTTAAATTTCTATTGCGGCTCATTAAAAACAAATTCTTCTTAAGACAATTTTTGTGATTTATATTTTCCTATATAAAAGCATCCACTTCATCTAGATTTTCAGATATATTGGCATAAATTTGTTCCTAATATTCTCTTATCATTCTAAAAACCACTTCCACATCTTTAATTAGGTTGCTTTTCTTATTCCTGATTTTATTGTGTCTTTTTTAAAATTTGGATTTGATGAAAGTTTGTTTGTTTACTGGTCTTTTCAAAGAATCAGTTTTAGGGTTTATTGATAAAAAATATTTTTGTTTGATATTTTATTAATTTCTGTTTTTATTTTAATAAATGCAATCCTTCATACTTTGTAGTTATTCTGCTATTCTTTTTTTCCATCTATCAGTTTATTTATTGTAAATTTTAAAAAATAAGTTAATTTTAGGGGCTGGCCCCATGGCATAGTGGTTAAGTTCAGTGTGCTCTGCTTCAGCTGCCTGGGTTTGTGGGTTCAGATCCTAGGTATGGAACTACACCACTCATCAGCCATGCTGTGGCAGTGACCCACATATAAAGTGGAGGAGATTGGCAACAGAAGTTAGCCCAGGGCTAATCTTCCTCCGCAAGAAAAGGAAAAAGAAAAGAAAAGAAAAAGAAAAGAAAAGTTAATTTTAGGTTCTGAATTTTTCTTTCATATTGATTGGTGCATTTCATAAATTTAAGGTGTGCTCTCACTTTCTCTACAAAGTAGTTTATAGCTTCAGCTGTGAGTTATTTAGAATACTGACTCAAAAAATTTAAGTGAATAGATTTTGGAGGGGCTACTAATTTTATGGTTCATTTCTAACTCTGCTGTATCGAAGTCAGAGAAGTTTTACTTTCTGTCTTATGTCTTGGCTAATTTTTGTGAATGTTTCTGGGTGCTTAAAAATAATGTGGTTTTTTTTTGCCATTTATTGAGTATAAATTTATTAGATTAAGTTCGTTAATTGACTTATTTAGATGTTCTTTTTCTTCTATTTTGTTCTATTTGATCTGTCATTTTCTACTTGCTGTATCAGAGTCTCCCTCTGTGTGTGTGCGTGTGTTTTCATTTTCTCCTTATGGTTCTATCAGTGTCTGATTAACATATTTCCAAACTATGTTGTCAGGCTCATGTATACCTTTTATCAGTTTCAAATATCCCTTTTTGTGTTGTTTAATGCCTTTCACCTGGAATTGTTTTTTTTTTTTGAGGAAGATTAGCCCTGAGCTAACATCTGCCGTAAATCCTTCTCTTTTTGCTGAGGAAGACTGGCCCTGAGCTAACATCCGTGCCCGTCTTCCTCTAGTTTATATGTGGGATGCCTGCCACAGCATGGCTTGCCAGCGGTGCCATGTCCACGCCTGAACTGGTAAAGCCCTGGCCGCCGAAACGGAACGTGCACACTTAACCGCTGCGCCACTGGGCTGGCCCCTCACTTTTATTTTACATGTCAGCATTCCAGGTTGTGACGAGCAGGAAGGGGAGAAGTGCCACAGGGTCATCAGGAGCCAGAAGAGAAGGAGAAGCCCTCAGGGGCAGGCGTGAGAAACATCCCCTCTCTACTCTGCCCAAGGCAGGGGTGCAGGCTCATGGCTGGCTCAGATGAGGAAGACACGAAGTGCACGTGGACATAAGCACCCAACACAGCAGGTGACGCCGACACTGGCACTATGCTTGTCTGTGAGGAAACCAAGGCTCAGAGACGTGCGATGTCTTGCTCAAGATCACAGAGCCAGTGTGTCACAGGCTTGGATTTGAGCCTGTTGAGCTTCCAAACCAGAGTGCTTTCAGAATTTGACTTTCGATCCCTCAGTGGCCTCAGCAGCAGGTGTGCCAGTGTCTAGTGGGCTGCTCGATGGAAAGTGATAAACAACAATGACATGACGGCTCCCCAGGCAGGGGAGGGGGATCCAGCCCCAGCTCTCTCCCCTAAGTACCCTGGAGAGAGCCCTCTCCTTCGACATGCAGGCATGTCCCAGAGACCCACCTGAAGAGGAGCAGCACAGCCTGGGGGAAAGTCTGGAAGTTGTTGTTGCGGTTGATCTCTGTGGTGTCATTCAGGGCAATCTTCCCAAACACCTAGCAAGGGGCGAGGAGATGGATTCAGTGGGCCCTGGACAGAGAGGGTCCTACTTCCCACCCAGCATTCAATGGTCTCTTCAGGGGCCACAGCTGACCACTGGGACAGGCTGGCCAATAAGCTGAACAGAGTCCCTGATGCGGCCTGGCTGGGCTTAATGGGTGCAGGTGCCTGTCTAGCCCTGATCTCAGTCCCCTACCCTGGCCAGTGAGAGAGGTGCCCATGTGCCATCAGGAGAGGTCCCCGTGGCTTGGCAGAACAGGGCTGCGGGCGGGTGGATGCCCAGAACAGGACCTGCTTCTGTGCGGGGATGGGCAGCTCATTGGCCTGCTGTTTTATTTTTTTGGCTGCAGATTCTTGAGAATATTTTTCTTTTTCTCTTTTAAAAAAAAACTTTATTGAGGAATAATTAACAAATATAATTGTATATATTTAAAGTGTATGACCTGGTAATGATTTGATGTACATACACGTTGTAGAATCATTACCGAGACCAAGATAATTAACCCATCCATCACCCACATAGTAACATAGTTAACTGTTTGTGTGTGTGGGGAGAATGCTTAAGATCTCCCGTCAGCAGCTTTCTTGTGTACAGCACTGCATCATGAACTGTCACCATCAGGTGCTAGCACGCATCCTCCGCCTGCTCTCCGCCACGCCAGCTCCGTCCGCCCCAGCACTGTTTGGTGGGCAGTTCTTGGACTGGGAGTGACATGGAACAAGCGGTCTGGGGCTTGGGCGGGCTTAACTCATCCTTGAAATCAGGGGTCTCCTTTTATTTTTTCTGGCCTTTCAAAGCTGTGCTTGTCTTAGAAACTGCCACCCTTGGTCAGGTAGCAAGGTAGGTAGCTCTTTCATCTCAAAAGCTTTTGGCCCATGAGCCCTGGCGTCTCTCTGCAACGAGCAAACATGGGACTGTTCCTTAAGGAGCTGCCGAAGAAAAGCTCTCCACGGGTGTGGCGTGACGGGCTGGGGTGTTCTGCTGGAAACCCGAGGGAGGCTGGAGAACTCTGGGTTTGGGGCAGGAGATGGTGCAGTGGGCACCTGTGAGGGGAGGACCCCAGAAACTGCTGCTTGCTTGACGGGGAGAGCCTGCCTGCCTGCCTCCCGCCCTCCCTCTCAGTCATCAGCTTCTCCTGGATGACGCTGGGTTGAGGGATAGTTCTCAGGCCTATCAGACCCGGACAAAGGGCAGATGCTGTCTGACACACCTGCCTGCTGTCCCCTGAGAAGGGGCCATCTCTCCTAGGCCCACTGCGTAGTTTGGGAGGGTCTTCCCTACTGAGAGCAGACCAGGCCTGGGGCACCAGGGGAGCAGCTGTCCAAGCCATGTGTCCTGCACCTGGCACCTGGCCATTCACCCTATACCTGCCAGATACCATTGGGCGGAAGTTCCAATTCTTGTGATCTCTTTAGCTTCAGAAGGCGGAAGAGGAGGGAGAGGGACAGTCAGGAACAAGAGGCAGGTGAGAGGGAGGGGGGCATCAGGGATCGTGGGGCTGGGAACTGGGAGGAGACAGCAGGAGGCAGGGAGCGAGCGCCCTCCTACCTGCATCCCGATCACGGCGTAGATGAAGAACAGCATCACTATCAGAAGCGCCACGTAGGGCAGCGCCTGGGAGGAAGCACAGGAGGGGTGGTGAGGACGACAGAGGGACGGGCTGGTGGATCCCCTCCCAGGGGGCGTGGGCTCTGCAGCCAGCAGCTGCTGCCTGCCTTGGGGCATTTCCAAGAGCCACGCAGAAGTTCTGGGCACCTGGCAGAGGGCCTGGGCCATGGCGCTGACGGCTCGCTCTACTTCGGTTCCATTACCTGAGAAGCAGTGCGGTGTTCTGAGAAAGGCAGGCTGCAGAGCAAGGGGTACAGCGCCACGGGTCTTCAGCAGAAACAATCAAGAATGGGCAAAATGCCCTTGGACTGAACACACAGCGTGGCAAGCAGGGAAAAAGCATGGAGGGTACACATCAAGGAGTCCTGGGAGGCGTGGGGTGGAGGCAGGTGAAGCCCTTCCCCCCGCAGCTTTACGTTCCACTAGTTGTAATAAAAACATTCACCAAGGGAAAACTAAGAAAGATCGTGGGCTCAAATCCTATTTCTGCCACTTTCTAGCTATGGGGGTTGGGCATATTACCTAACCTCTCTGAGCCTCAGTTTCCTCATCTGAAAAACAATAACTACCTCTCAGGGATTTTGTGGCGTTCAAATGATGTAAGGCTTACAAAACGCTCAGCGCAATGCCTTGCACATAGTTGGTCCCATACATCTTATTCACTCAATATGTTATCTGCCCAGCAGCGCAGACAACTTAATTTTCCAGAGCCCTGGTGGCTTCTCCGGGGAGAGGCCTCATGGGGCTCAGCTCAATGCAGGAGAGCCACACGTTCGCGGCTGCAAAGTGCGGTGCCAGGGGCCTGCAGACCGCCAGGTGGCGCTGCGAGACCACAAGGATGCTCTTCCTGCCTGGTCGGAGCTCCTGCTCCTCATTCAAGTCCTGCTCCTCACAGTCTCCCAGGTCTGTCGCCTCTTCCAGCCCAGGGAAATGTTGGGGACCAGGTGAGCATATTGGGGGTCTGTATAGTCAGTCATCGCTGTGGGACCCCAGGGGTGCACCCAGCGACAGGGTCAGCCTCAAGTCCCACTCCCCCGAGAATCCTGATTCCCAGGGACTGAGCAGGGCACAGGGGCGGGGGGTGCGGGGGGGGGGGGTGGAGGTGGTAGGGAGGGGGCTGCCGTGCATCATTAAGTGGGGAGTCAGCGTGGGCCTGGCAGAAGGAGGACCAACCATGAGGAGTGCAGCCAGCTGGGGCCCTTGCTTGCTGGCTCAGTCAAGCGGCTCGGGGAATGAGTCCCAGGGCAGGAGGCTCCCTGGAGGGGTGTTGTGCCTTTGGGGTGGGACTCTAAAGCAAGACGGGCTCCTGACAGCAGAGCACCCTTCCTCTGGCTGCAACTTCACTCACGGGCACATTGGGATCAGGGCCACGCTGTACCCCATCCCTGGGCCCGAGGTGACTAGGGCAGGGGATGTGGAAGGAGTTCTTGAGTGCTGGTGAGGCTCCCTGTCCTGGGAGCCCTGCCTCCCCGGGGACGGACGACGCTGCCTTCAGCGTCAGGCCAGGGAAGCACGGAAGCACACGGGGTCCCCACGCCACTCATCTTCAAGGAACTCAGGGGCCCTGACTGCGCTTCGCTGCCCTTTCACCTCAAACCTATACAACACGCCTCAGAGGGGGCCACGGGCAACATTAGCCTGCTTTTACAGATGGAAAACGAGGGCTGAGAAAGAGAATTAATCCTGTAGATGGGCAGCCCTGTCCTCATAGGATGGGCTGCCCCTCCTTCAGTGGAGGGACACCAGGATCCTGGAGAGCTTGGCTAAGTCCATAAACAGATACGGACAGTGGACATTACTGAAATGCCTGCTGGGGGAAGGTGACAGCAAGATTCTAAAGACTCCAGTATTGAGAGGGGCCATAGAGCTTATCAGATCGCCCAGGCCCATGTTTTTCACATTTGTTCCACCACAAAACCCCTTCATGCAGCATTCTTGTGGAAAAATACACAAATAAGAGAAGAAAGCAGAACCACTGCAGCCTCCCCCTTGGCTCCCAGCCTTCCCTACCCTGACTCTGGGGAAATCGGGGTTCCAGGAGCATGCTTTCGAGGCCTCATTTCAGACATGAGGAAGGCAAGGCGCAGAGAGGGAAGTCTGGGCGGCACAGCCAGTGCGCAGCGGAGTAACTGCCTGGCTCACTCCGAAATGGCGTTCATTCCTGTGCTGGGTCACCTCCTGCTCAGGGAGCCCAGGTGGAAGCTGGGGTGGAGCCCTGCCTGCTGGGGAAAGAGGAGGCTGTGCAGAGGGTAGAGGTGGCTACCTGGAAGGACTTGATGAAGGTCCAGAGCAGCGTCCGGATGCCCTCCCCTCGGCTCAGCAGCTTCACCAGGCGCATGACCCGGAAGAGGCGGAAGAAGGTGATGGAGATGCGCGAGTTCTCCTCTGCGTTCTGGAAGCCATCGGCAACAGGAGGTGGCGGTTAACACAGCGACAGGGAGGGGTTGAGGACGGGGCGGGCCCTGCTCTGAGCGACACAGCCCTTGGGTGGAGTGGAGGCAGGCCAGGGTGGGCTAGCTGCACCAGATTCTCTCTCCTGGGACGCGGCGGGGGGCCAGCTGCCCACCTTTTCCAGGAAGACAACCCAGCCCTGAGGCCTCTGCAGAACCAAGCTGTGCCCAGGACCGTGAGCCCTTGGGCCTATTTTTCTACTTTCCCCCCTTCCCCTTCATTCCTAGTTGTTAAGCCCCTGGGTGGAGAAGATTTCATAAGGAACTTCCATATGCTTTGAAATCCAGGCGGTGAGCCAGCCGCCCTGGGCACACCCTGAGGTGTGGCCCCAGCCTCACTGCCGTCTGGCTTGGCTGAGGGTCCTGCATCCTGAAGGATCTGGCTCTCTGTGAGGTGGCTGGGTGGGTCGTGGCCTTCACCCCAGCTGTGGGGATGACTGTACTGGGGTACTGGTGGGAGGGGCGGGCTGAGAGCTTGCGGGGTTGCAGTGGGCTGCCCACTGAAGGGGTCTTGTGCCCTGGCTGCTCAAGACGCCAGCACTTCTGTTGTGTCATTTCCTTCTGCTTCCCACAGCCCCTGCCCAACGTGGCTGTGGGAGGATGGGAATGGTGTTGTTTAGTGCTGGCAGAGTGCCTGGTTTGCAGGCTCTGAAGCTGTGCCCCTTCTATTCCCCTCTGCCCTGGGGTGTCCAGGAGACCTGACGCTGCGGGAGACCCTGGGTGGGGGCACAGGCAGGGGAAGGTCGGGGAGGCAGGCACTAGGAGTGAGCCCTAGAGAAGTCGCGCCCCAGTAGGAGAGGACCAAGGGGTGCTGCTCTGGGCAGATCACCTCCTCAGGGAAGACCTGGAGGGCAAGGGCAAGGTGAAGGTGAAGACAGGTGGGTGGAAGCCAAGGCAAGCTGGGGTGGGGAGATGGTGTTGAAGATGGGGCTGGGGCCGCTGGCTGGGGGCTCACCTCAGCCTGTGGGACCTGGAGGGGCCTGGGGCTTGGGCACCTGCCTGGCCAGGGCTCAGGGGGCAGGACAGGATGCACTGTCACTTGCCTCCAGACCTGAGAACAGCATGGACTGACCCCCGCCTTGTCCCTCCTTCTGCCCCCACTGACCAAAGAGCTGGGGGCGGTCACCCCCATGAGCCACTTGCCTGTTCCTAGAGCTAGTGCAGCTCACCCAGCCCTGTCGGCACCAGGAGAGAACGGACCTTTGGGCTTCCTGTTACTGTTCCTGTTACTTCCTGTTCCTGTTCCAGCACGCGCTTCCCTCAAGGGAGGAGGAGCCCCTGGGCTGTGCTGGGCTCCTGTGTTGGCTCTCCCCACTTCTCAATTCATTTCTCCTCTTGCTTTACTCTGTGCAGGGAATCCTCTGGTGGTCAGTGGGCGTCCCTTTGGTTGTCACTTAGAGGGAGAGACAAAGGGGACATCTCTTTCCCCTTGATGCTGACGTCACCTGGCCTCTTGCTTTATTTTTAATCATTTCCATGTCAGATCCTCCCTGACAATACCCATGTCTTGTTGCACCCCTGAAAATCCCACCAGCACTAAAGGCCTTGAGGGCTCCCAGAGGCCCTCCATTCTAACCCTGTGGCCTGCTGACTGTCACTGATGTGGTGGGTGGCCCCAGAGGCCACTCATCTCACTCCTGTTTAGAACGGGAGACCCAACAGGGAGGCAGGAAAATTCAGAGGAAGCTTTTACACGTCTGCACTTCCTCGCTCCACCCTGGGAGGGCTGTGCAGAAACCAAGCCTGGACGGTCTCTCCTGGTTTTCAGACTCTCCCGACAGGGGAAGAGTCACAGCATTTCTTCTATTTCCAAACCAGAGCTGCCTCAGATCCTCGAAGGGCTCCGCTCCCCTCAGGCAGGGCAGACTTGTGGGTGTTGGGGGCCCGCTCCGGGGGGGCTGCTGGGGCAGCTAGGGGGAGGGAGCGCAGTGCCCCTGGGCCCTACCCTGCCGAGTATTCTGAAGTCTTTGATGCCCTTAATCTCTGCATTTCTATCACCTGTGTATCTACTTGAAATAGAATTAAAAGGAGGTTGTGTTCCCCCAGAGGAGTATGCAGAGGAGGCGAAGGGTTTTATCCCTCAGCTGTCAGTTCCACCATGTTCAGGAAAGGAGAAAAAAGAAGAAAGAACAAGCTTAAGCGGGGAACTTCAGCTGAGGGAGACAAGAGTTTGAGAAGTTGGTGCCACAGGGGCATCTGGATCTGATGAGTTCAAAACAGTAAAAATCAAGCTTGCAGTTTGAATTCTATTCTGGGTTCAGAACCCTCCCCAGTTGCTGCCATTTCCGAATGTTCTAGAAGGAGAATAAACACATATCCATTTGGACACAACAATTCCTCTTATAAACCAAATGACAATACAATGAAGAAGCAGATCCCAAGGGCCGTCTCTGCCAAGTGGGGTGGAATATCCAGCCTCTCCCTGGGTGACGTTCCAGCCAGCCTGGGATGGGTGGCATTGGGAAACACCACCTGACCCAATCTTGCGTCCAGTCTGTGGACTTGAGGGGCTCAGGGAATCAACCCACTCACGGATCCTTTCAAAAACTCACACCTGGCCCAGTTTGAAATGCGTGATGGTAGCCTTTGGAGGACGCTGTTCCAAGGAGACTTCAAGGTCACACCAAGTGGCATATCTATCACGTTAGCCAAAGTGAATCATAGACTTCTGTGCCAGGAGTGGTCCAATCAAACAATGAAGTTTGTTTTTCTGCTTGCAGAAAAATGAGGTATAGCCTTATTTTAATGAACTTGAAGAATTTAGAAAACTTCACTAGTAACACTGCTGGCCTGACTGGAAATTCAGCCACACTCTCAGTAAGAAATCCCAGTAAACCTTTTCCTGTGGCCGTGAACGCGGAGCACAAGGGAGGCCAGCAGCTACAGACACCTGATGATTAGTGGGAGCCAGCGCCTGCCCTTCCATCTCCTGGCAGGACCATCTCTCTCTCCTTTCCCTGGAGGCCCTTACCACGGCCCTCATAGGTGCCCTGTGCAAGTTTCCCACGTCAGATTAAAGCTGGAGACTTTAGCCAGTGTAGTGCTCAGGATGTTTAACAGGAAATGGCCCTGGGGTCCAGTTCTCTCCCAGTGGCTCATTAGACATTCAAGATCACAGTGAATTATCACCCAAAGGAAAGCACAAGGAGGGGAAGGAACACCATTACACAAACAGCACTCACAGCTCACACGAGACCAGGCAGGCAGGCGCATGACGGACACGGTGGCTACATGCAGCGGGAGCTAGGCTGGGTTCCGGGACACTCTGGGGGGCGGGGTGGGTAAGAGTGGGGGAAGTTAGAGGAGGTCACAGAAGCTGAGAGCGTGGTCTGCAGGGTCCATCTTACCATAAAGGGAGAGCATTGGGTATGTTCAGCTGGCTTTAAAGAAAGGCAGATAGAGATAAGCTGTAATGAGTCTCCAACGAAGACGCCCGGTATTCTAGGTCTCGGCTAACACAGGAGCAACACAGCGGCAGGAGAGGGCAAATGAAACAAGTGAAAGAAATACAAAGTGTAGGTCTGGCAGGTTCTGGGACATGACCAGGAATGGGGGCTCTGCAGAGCTGGGTCTCACATCTAGCGAGGACCCATACGGCATTCTCCTACCTGGGACCATCTCTGGCCACGAATTAAGTCATTCATACCCATTATAAATGGGGTGGATGGAAATCGTTTACTTGTTTCTGAACTAGCCATGTGTCCTAAGATAACCTTTGAGGGCTTGCACTCTAGCTTTGCCCAGGCATTGCCAGCTGGAGGAGAAGGGCCTTGCCTGTCCTTGCCCACACATATTTAAGCCAAGGCGCTCAGGGGCCCCTCACGTTTAGGGGAAGACTGAGTTTTAGTTATCACTGAGGAGAACCTAAAGAGGTAGCCCTCAACCCCTCCATAGCAGGGGCCAGTCCTCACAACATAGGCTCCGGCGGGAGGTGGTCCTGCCGAGCTTCCAGTTGACAGGTGTGAAGAACCTTGGCCACTGGCATGAAAGAACGAGTGTGGACCTATTTTTTAAATTCCAAAATTTGGGTGTATCATTACCACCCCAAGAAGCTGTTCTCGTGGGTCTCACTCCTGAGCTCGTTTTGGGATAGGAGCTGAGGAAAGTGGTTGCAGGTGGGTACCCCACAGCAACTCTCTCCCTGTTCCTGGAGCCTATATCCGGGAAGCTGTCCCTACTCCTTGGGCCCCAGCTCACGGAGCTCAGCCAGACCGACCTTGACCATCGGAGCTGATAACTCTTTCTAGAAGGTCATGACTTTGCTTTTACCCTCTACTTTCAGATGGTTGCTCTTGTGTTTCTGTTTTTAAGGTACAAACAAAGAAAACGTGTAACGGGAGTTGTGAAGGATGGAAATGTGCATAACTAGACATTTGCTTGCAGACTGAGAAAGCTTCGTTGGTAACAGATTTCTCAGCAAATTCCTTCTTTTTCCATAGGAAATTGGTATGATGTCCTTTCTGGGAATGGTGGAGATATAGGGTGAGGCAAGGGAAGAGAAGGAAAGGGACGCCTCATCAGTCATTTACACATTTAGATCTGTTTCTGCTTCATGAGGAATGCCAGCTGCCAGGTCAATCCACATGCCTGCAGGGTGTGGGGTCACTAGAATTTGGCTGGCAGGCTGAGCTAGAACACAGAAACAGACACACACACGCACATGCACACGCACACACACACGCACACGGAAGAAGTTTCAGGCTGGTCAAGTGCTCGTGTTCCTGTGTTAACGGGGAAGGACGGCTGTGTTTCCAGGGCTTCTGCTCGGGCTGTTGCTTCCCTTTTGGATCCACCCTGCAAACCACCGAAGCCGCCCTGGGCAAACGCCCAAAGGCCTTTGGGTCAGTCCCGTCTGAACAGGACCAGAGTGGGGACGACTTAGAGAAGCCTCCTGGGCCACCTGGCCCAGCTGAGTTAACCCTAAACTTTCAAAAAATTAAACTATTTATTTGACTTCTTAAACATTCAGTATTTTTCATTTGGGATTTTTAAAAGTCTTAACTGTCTTTTCTCTTGTTGCTTTTTAGTCTTTCATAGTTCCCATTTAAGAACCTCATCTATTTAAATCATATTTTACTTCAAGATTGAGCTTTGGGTCTGTTCTGATCCCCTGGGTCATATCTTATTATTCTAACAATCCTATATACGTCTCTATAATGGGAGACGAGAGGAGGTTAGGAGTGCTCTGAGAGCAGCGATGAGATGCAGGATGGGCTCTTGGGGATTCCTCTGTTGGGTTTCCCAGCCCAGGTGATGGTAGCTCTCCAAAGAGTTGCACTCTGGGAGAATCTGGAGACGCACAGATTAATTTTTTCTTGGGCCTTAAGCCATGCTGTTCAGAGGGCACTTCTAACTTGCTGGAACAGCGTTGTCTGTCAATCGCTGACACAAGCCTGTTCTTCTGTGAGCAGCTATGTTAGTAAGATCTATGGTCTCAAAAATAGCTAACCATTCACAATAAAATCAGAAAGCAATTACAGAGTGATTTCTGTGTGGGAACAAGAAGAAGAATCCTAAGACACAGTCATCTCCTTCAGAGACCCCACAGCCTACTGATACACTGCCAGCTCCCAAAAGACTCTTCCTAGACGACCCCGTGTAGTCATTCTGGTCCTTGGTACGCTTGCCCAGCTGCAAGTGGAAGCCCCTGGTGAGCTAGAAGGGGAGACTGGACTACCTGGGTTGGGCATTGCACTGTTAGCCCAGAGACATATTTGTGGTGTTTGCCACTTCCTTTGACTATCTAGTACAGTGCCTTGAGAAACTACCTAGCATCAATTCCACTTTTTGAGCTAAATTCAGAATTGGTTGGTAGTCTGAAACACTTGTGCCATCCATCTCTGACCCTTTCCTTGATTCGCTCCCAGTTCCCTGAGTTAGCTCATAATTCCTCTATCCGTGGTTTTCCTAGGGAAGAAGGGGTGGTAGGACTCTCTGAAGACTTACACCCTGCGAGCCTGGAGACCCCACCTGCACTCCACTCCCTTCCACAGGGAGCCAGCAGAGCCATGACCTCCCTGAGCCTTCTGGCTGAGTTGTAATATGGTGCCTTCTCCACCGTGGTAGGCATGGAGTAAATTTTTGAGCAGCTAATTCTTTCACCTTTGTTTTCTAAAGATCTGGTAATTTTCAAGGGTTTAAAGATATTGGAGCAATTAACTTAATTTGTTTGTGCAACTGGTATTAACGGAATCAGGTAGTCACTCCATATCTGAGGCAGAGGTGGAGGATTTTCAGAAAGAGTCCCGGCTAGTGGTTCCAGCCAACAGGCTAAGGGCACACAGGAAGAATGACCTTGCTTCAATGTACTTATGCAGATTACCTGGGTTTGGTACCTCTGGAAACAACGATAGCAGTGGCACTGGGCAGTTAATAAGAGATAGTCTCTGGAAAACTCTCTTCTGAATTAAGTTCAGAATCACATTAGAAGTATTCCTTAGCAGACAAAGTCTTTGTTTCTGGAATATACTCACTATTCCTTTTCACAGAGCTATGATCTCTAGACCACATTTAGGATGCTGAGGGATGAACTCAGGGAAGGTGAGACGCTGCAGAGAGAGGGTTCTCCTATGTACAGGGGATTTTCCCAACAGGATGGAGATAGGAATGAGAGGGATGTGTTCTCCAGTTGTTAACATTATTTAGTCTCTCTGGAGAACTAAAAGGTTGTTGAAAAATAGCTCTTGACCATATGAAAAAGGGACTTTCCTTTTCTTCTTCCTCTTCTTTTTTTTCTTCAGCATAGCCAGGGTGTGAGGGTTACTAGGGATTTAGGGGCTAGGCAGTAGATTTCTAGGCTGCTATACCCAAACAAGTTGTCTTCCAGATCACTTGAGATCAGGTGGTTAGAGAGCATTTTGAAAAGATCATAAGCCACTGCTGCACCTCCTGAACACGTTGACTTTGAAAGGTGCAGACTACCTTCTGACATCCTCCAGAGAAGGCTGGCTCTTGGCTGAGTTGTGAACACACCATACAGAAAGGGCTGCCCAATTCCAACGGCTGCCATTGAGACAACGGCTATAATATCAAGGTCACTGAAATTCCACATTCCTCTGAGATAGGAGTAAAAAGCAATGTCATGGGAGTACGTGAGTCTTTCACTGGCTACCCTGCTACAGAACTCTTGCTTTTTTTTTTTAATCTCTCATCCAGAACTTAGGGAGTGGATCTGATATAAATTCCATTCCAAACCACCTGAAGGTCCTGGTCCAGCTGGCACTTCCCCCACCCCTGCCAACCCAAGCTCCGCTTCTCTGCTTCCAACATCTCTAATCTCATCTCAGTTTGATGTGCAGGACAGGATGGCTAGTTCAGTTGAGAGAGTGTCGCGGTCTGGTGGAAGACTGGGGGATTGGGGCTTTGTTGGTGAAACCCCATTTAATCTAGGCTGGGAGGTCAGTTATGAGGCTGGTACACAGAAAGAAAATTGAGAATGGCAGGAGTCAGGGGCTTCCAGAGACATTTGACTCCAGCTTCATGGCCAGGGGGCAGCCATGTAGGTTAAGTGAGGGTGGGGAGGGGCCGGGTGTCCTCATTATCCTCTTATCTCCTCTTTCAACCGGGAGAAAGGCACATCCCAGGAACCAAAAGTGAACCTATAGATGTGGTGGAGTCTGGAGATGCTGAATCTTAGAGCCACCAGAGGTGGCAGCAGGCAGAGGAATCTTAAGGAGGCCAAAGTAAAATGTGTTTTAAACTGTAAGCCTTCTAAATTGAATGAAGAGCGTCCTTGCTAAGGAAGATATAAAGTTTAAATAAGCACGAGTCAACTGGGATATACAGAAGCTGAAGATAGATGTCAATGGTTCTCAGATTTAAGGGCAAATGAATGAAATATGGATAGTTGAAAGCAGTTCTTAAGCAGAATTTCCCTTTTGGTTTGGTATGAATGGATAGACAAAAACAGATCTGTGGAGGAGGAATGCTAAGGGGGATTTATGAAGGAGGCAAAAACGCTGGACAGAAAAGGGAGGGAACGTGAAGATAAAGCCAGAGATGAGAAGGCGGAGAGCAGGAAGAGTGGCCCTCCCGTCCCCCAGGTCCACCATGTTGGAAACCCCCAGCTGGCACCTGTTTCTCCAAGGTGAAATTCTAGCTAGAAGGAGAAGAGCCCTTCTTGAATCTTTGTGGCTACAGGCACCCAATTGAAATGCCCCTTCAGAACTTCCCCTTGGCCCCAGGGGGACTGGTGGAGAGGTACAGGGCAAGGGGGCTGCTGGTTCCTGGTCGATCCTTGCGCTTCCTGTCTTTGTGTGCTAAATGCAGAAGGAGACCGGCTGGACCAGCCTGTATTATCAGCTGCACAGTGACCAGCTCAGGTGGCTGGAAGCAGCTGCAGCCTCAGGGGTCCCTGCGTTGTTCACCTGAAGCCTGATGA